GGCCCAACTTTCGGAATCCATGTGACAATTAAGATGTTGAAAATCACATCATTTTATAGGCAACATTTGGAATTCCTTTTATTTGACATTAATCCTTTTTCAAATACATCGATTTCTAAAACTTTACCCAACATATACAAATGAATTCGTACAAATTTAATTCTAATTTTTGGTTTTCTATTATTCCATATTATGCATATCTTACCTTGATTAAAGTATAAACATGAATGACAAATGCTATTGTCTTAACAGTATCATACAGTAATTTTCGTTCATAAAAATATATAATGCTCTATCAATAGAAAGCTATGTAGGGCTATTAAATGAATATTGCCAATACGCCTAGATTACAAGCATTCATATTGAGATTAAGTGGTCCTATAGGTACAACATTGATGCAAGTCAAAATCGGGCTTTACCTCTTCCGTGGCACCACTTTTTTAAACACTTGTTATAGATGTGTTGTATAGTGGTTCACTAATTTGACTCTTAATTCAAGGGTTAAGGGTTCAAATCTCGCATAGCACCACATCCTTTGGCAAGATGTGCAACACATATTCACCACTCTTCACCCAGGTTTAAGTGGGTGCCTGGCAATATACCATAAATATAAATCTTTGTTACTTAAATGCCATGTTACATATTATTTCATTCACCTGTTAAATAATTGTATTTCAATAATCAGAATGCAAACAGCATGCTATAATTGTTGCTTGGTAGGACAAACATTATTACACAATACACAAATCAGTAAGTACAGGTTCTATTTTTCAAATAATATGTGAAGACCATATCAGTTTATTCATTTAAGATTTTAATTTTGTTCAAAAAATTATGATAAAAAAGCAAGTCTGAAAAGGTTGTGAATTCAACGGACAATTCAGATACTGCTATCAAAACATTAGATGTGAGGAAATAATCAAATAAATGCTAGATTTAAAAAAAATGTGATCTAGTTTATAAACCTAAATACAAGCTTAAAAGGAATATCTCAATACTATTTGAATTTCTTCTTTCTCCTTTATTTACAGCAAATAATACCCAACCCCTACAGTTTCCCAAATTTACCAACATATATGTATACAACTTTATTACAAGTATGATACCATGAGATATGGTATGTATTTTGGTTAATAGTTTCATTGTTCATCTTGATAAGAATAATGTTCCATGAAATCAAAGTTCACAGTTTAAGAGCTCATTTCTAAATTCAATAAAGAAAGCCAAAGTACATGTATGAGATACATTATTATGGGTTGTTAAATCTGCCAACTGACTATCCTAAACTAAAACATGTATGAGCAAGCACTCAATTAGCGATATAAACAAAAGCCATGATCATGTGATGAGCATCATTATGATAATGATTTAAAGGTCATTATGATTGAATGTGAGCACATAGATTCTCTGGGAGGTTGCTTTCTTAGTCATATGCTATCTTCAGCCATTGTGACATACAGACTACCGGTATGCCAAGACCTTGTGCCATCTGTGCTGTCCTTACCCTTGGTATTTTCTTATGTACCTCTGGAAATGTTAGCATATTACTGATAGATGTTATGTATAATATCTGAATAAGCCAGTTTCGTAATGTAACCAAATTTAATGCATACGTCTTTGTGAAGTGCCTCAATACAAATTATTTCATTCACCTGATAAGAATAATAGTATTTCAATAGTCAGAATGCAACTGCATATATTAAGTGTTGCTAGGTAGGTCAAGCCATAATGTTTGTCCAACCTGGCAACAACTTAATATATGCAGTTGCATTCTGACTATTGAAATACTATTATTCTTATCAGGTGAATGAAATAATTTGTATTGAGGCACTTCACAAAGACGTATGCATTAAATTTGGTTACATTACGAAACTGGCTTATTCAAGCCGAACTTTGGAAACGGGCTGGTGAGTTTTTGGTATATTGTTGTTGTGTGTTTTTTTTTAGGAGGGGGGGGGGTGTTAGGGTAAGATCATAGTGTAAACATTCTGTTTACTGTAAAAGTCCTTACCTATTCTTTGTATCTCATTGAATGTTTTACAAGGCCAACATATCTCTTCATCTAAATTTATTCTTTCATCAGAAGAAAAAAAACAGATAATGGGCAATATCAAGTATGAAATGAAGGGGTGGATAAAACACAAGTTCCAAGATGCTGATTGAAAAATTATGAAGATTATATTTTGAGGTATTGATGATATAGAGGTAGGTTTAGGTTCCAGATCTTGCAGGAATCACAAGATGTTAAATCCTTGCATTCATAGGGTAATGTGTAGAAAATGCCTTGGAAGATATTTTCAATATTGGAACTTGCTTTTGTATTTTAAAATGCCTGGGAAGATATTTTCAATATTGGAACTTGCTTTTGTATTTTAAAATGCCTGGGAAGATATTTTCAATATTAGTACTTGCTTTTGTATTTTAAAATGCCTTGGAAGATATTTTCAATATTGGAACTTGCTTTTGTATTTTATATTTTAATATCATATTTTGTATACATATTTTATTTTAGTGTTTTATCTACTGAACATGTTGAAGTCTGGAAAGATCTGTGGCAAATATTGCTAGATAATGATAATAACGATAGTAGCTATAATAGTAACAATAATACTTATAATGATAATAATAATAATGATACTTTCAATAATTATACTACTACTACTTATAATGATCATTATAAAGAACATAATTTATATAGCATATACTTTTTCATAGATATGATGTGTCCTGTCATAACACAGCGTGATATCAGCAAATGCTTATCATCAATGTATTATAAACGTATATTTATTATATTCTTTTTTATTAAATTACCCGAGGAGATACCATTTTGCTCTAAATTTTCTATCGATGGAATAAGGAAATTATTTATGTTTTTATCCATTTCACAATTTACTTTAATATTTATTGCAGTTCAACCTTCTGGAATATCCCCTCGATATATTTCATTTTTGATATTTCTCACAGTAAATGTAATATAAATCATGTTTCACAATCATTGATATATAGAAAATATCACCACAAATACTCCTTGGTACAAACAGTTTAGACCTACATTCCGGGTTTTTTAATAGACGTTCATGTAGAAGCTTACATCGTGATTTACATTGAATGTTATATTTGGTTACTGCAGACCGCCTTTATATATCACTTTATCTCCTGTCACAATAACTCATCTCTGTTATCTCTGCGGCCGTCTGCATAACTCTGCTGTCGGACATACTTTCTATCTGACAAAGCAAATGCCAAGTGTTAGCTAGCCGTGCTGATGTACGTCAGCAGTAGGTCTATGGAGCTGATAACGTCATCACACCCTAGTGATGATGCGTGGAGCTGTAGTGATGTCATGAATGAAATGTGAACAAGCAATCAAAGCTTGTCCTTTACCAATTCATGCAATATGATGGGATTTGTCCCGGTTGACTGAGCCACCCTTAAAAAAATATCCCACTCCCCTGAATGAATAATTTAAAGACATATTACTCTTATGAAAAATTGTTTTCAAACTATTTATTTAAGTAAGACATAACTTTTGTGTCGTTGAAGTTCATTAAACTTTTATGATTTGTGCAATGACATAACTAAGGGTTCTTTAACTTAAATTGTACATTGTTGACACATCATGACAGTTTGAATATCAAATTTAATAAACAAATCAGTCTCAGAAACAAAATTTCTCAGAGCTTTTTTTTTTTGGTGGAATTCTCAGATTGTTTTTTTCTTCTTCTTCTTCAGGAAGAAGGAATTGTAATCTCATGTAAGATAAGTTTGTATGTGTATATGCAGCTCTTGAATATAATTATATTAAAGTTTACCACACTTTGCCAATTGCAATTATACATACTAGTATATAATGGAAAGAGATGTATTATGATTACAAAATTTTGATTACAGAATTTTAAATTTAGTGCTCATCTTGTAAATACAAAATATTAGAATGTAGATCACTCATAAAACTGTGCAGAAAGTTTAATATATTTCAAGGGATTTTAAATTCATTGGCTTCATTGGCAGCTTAGCTGCAGTTTCATACGGCCATCGACCCATAAAGCTATTCACCCTCTATATTGTAAACATGGCCATAATTGGCCCTCTGCTGTGCGTTCATTTCTCAATGCTGGCAGGCATCTTGGAACTGCACTCAGAGATCAAAGCTCCTCATTTAGATGTTTTGTGTGTGCGTAATACAGAGGAATTCTTGTGGTCTCCATCAGTTGAAATTCTTGAGGAGTTTGTAAGACCGGTACCTAGATGAATATATGGTAGACTGACAGGAATGCTTCTTTTTCCTTGCCATGTTTTTCCAAACTTCCCTAGTTTCCATTTGTGATTAATGGGAATTTATTTATACTAAGAATTTTGTTGGACTGCTGGCCTGTTTCATATTTTCTACCGTTTTGATTGGTATCCAGTGTTGTATGTCACAAAACCTCTTTCAGATATTACCTTACACCAACATTTTCCAAAGCTGCCTTTCGTACTGATAAAAATATCAGTACAAATATTATGAACATAATATTTAAATAACTTAATTTTTACTAGTACAGTTAAATTCTGCTACTGCAAAATATGTTAAAATAATATCAAGTTTTATCATGCAAATAAATTTGCAACTGGTAACATAAGAGTGATGCCTTTCTTGTCAGAATGAAGACAACTATGTATGTATATTTGTATATTGATGCCAATCAGGGAAGAATTGAGCAAATTGACAACTTTCAAAACCATTTTTTAAAAATAACTTTTTAAATTTTATTTGTCAGCGTTGAGACAACTAGCAGCACCACCACCATATTTGTATATTTGTATATTGATACCAATCAGCGAAGAATTGATCAAATTGATAACTTTCAAAACAATTTCATTTCAATCTTTTCTTTTTTTAGCATTGAGACAACCACCACCATATCTGTATATTTGTATATTGATACCAATCAAGGAAAAATTGATCAAATTGATAACTTTCAAAACAATTTCATTTCAATCTTTTAATTTTACAGCATTGAGACAACTACTACCACCACCACTCAGGTAGTTTATAGCTCCGCGGCCATGAGCCGGGGGCGCATCGGGCAAGAGGAGGCGCCAAAGTTTACTCAACCGCTCAAAAGCGTCTCTCCAAAGGAGGGACAGGCCGCTACCCTACAGGCGGAGCTCAAGGGTAAGTTTTGAAACATAGTCCTCAAAAGTTGGGGAAAACTTTAAGGATGTTGTATGCAACATGAAAAATGATGATGGAAACTTACCACCATTAACATCTTATGATGTTTTATCCCAAGGCTCTTAAATACACCCTGATGTAATTCTTCCTATTCCCTTTCCCTGTGTGACTTTTAAAAAGTCTTTTGCGGTTACCCAAGAATATTTATGTGAGTGAATTTTACTTGATATAAACATGTGTTACCCTACCCTTGTGCTGAAGTTTGTTATTTAATATGATTTTATATGAGTGAACCAACAATATTCAACCAGACTTGCTGTTTCTAGACCCACCATTGCTTTAGATAGTAGATGAAACATATCTGTCTTTACCTTTTCCCAGTTTGATATTATTTTGCCCTAATGTAATAGTAGAAGACGTATAGTAGAACCTCTCCTATAGAAATACTATGCCATCCTATATTTCTTTCATAGCTACAATTCCTTATGTTATGAAGTGTAGGTGTAAAAAAAACTACTGTTTGATGTTAATATTTTGAAGAAAAAAAAAATTACCATGTGATTTTTGTAATCCCCCTTTTTCCTGTAAGCCCATGTTTATTCTTATTTTGTTTAAGATATTGACCCTAATATACTAGCACAGTATGGAAGGAATTTTGAGGCGCTGTAAGAAATTATTTGAAATGATCCAACATATGTTTGATAATTTGAATCATTTGGAAAATACTTTTTTCGCATCATTGGATTAATAAACAAGTTGTCCACAAAGTTTATTTAAATCAAAGTACTACATTATGAATGTGAATCCCATTTAAATGCTTGTATTAGTATCTATCCTTCACAAATGGATACCATTTTAATTCAGTTTATTTCACATCTCTTCAAAAACATAAAATAACAATGAAAAGTTAAGGAATTTAAGATTTAAGAAACATGTGTATTCCACAGTAAATCAGTAAATTCCTTCAATCTGTGCTTGTAGAAATTAACAGTGAAAAATACCCTTAGAGAGTGGACGACCTTAATCCTTACCCTGATCCTCCCCATCCTAATCCTAATCCCCACCCCTCAGGTCACCCTGAGCCCACCATCAAATGGTTCAAAGATGACAAGGAATTGAAGAGTTCGCCAAAGTACAGCATCTCTTTTGCGAAGGGCAAGTGCTCGCTGAAAGTCAGCAAGACCTCCGCAAAGGACAATGGCCAGTACAAGTGCACTGCCGATAATAAGTGCGGAAATGCAATGTGCTCTGCCACATTGCAGATCCAAGGTATGTCAATCATAATAAATCTATAATAATAATTATATTTGCTTATATAGCGCCTAACACTTACTTTATCAGAAGTCTCTAAGCACTCTGCAATGATGCAGCATAATTACCCTGGCTTTAGCAGAGCAGCTGTCACACGCTCTGCGTTTCAAGGAATAAATTCCTTATTCCTACCAGGTCCCCATTTACTTCACCTGGGTGGAGTGTGGCAAATGTAGATCAATGTCTTGCCAAAGGACATTAGTGCCATTTACTTATATTTGCTTTGTATGGAAAAATAAGTCACAATTTTTAACAAATTCCACCATAGCATTGTGGAATTTATCTTAGAAGGGTGAATAAGATGTTACAGATGAATTTTTTGGGATGTACGTACAATATAAAAATGGTCAAGTCTACAGTCCTACTCTTCAGATAAATGAGTAGAGAGGGTCCTATTTATCAAGTCATCATCATCATAGTAATTATCATTTTTTAGGGTCAGTCTTCTGACGCTTTGGTGATGGACATTCCATTTCCATCATGGCCTTCATCAAAGCCTTCTAGTCTTCCGCATTCACCTGGGTGAAGCAAGATACTCTCATACTCTCAAGAATTTTCAAACCATTTTAGGGGGCAGTGGAAAGGAGTAGTTTATAGTCTTTGACTACATGTATGTAAATTGTATGGCCTTTCCCCTCTCTCCATTTGGACATGACAAAGACCTTGTTAACATTAATATTTACATATCTTTATGTAATGTGTTCTCTCCCCACTTGCCGAGTTAATAGTTTTAGTGAGTGTGATTATACTTATATTATATCTCTCCTCCCCACTTCCTTATATGAATCGTTTGATTTTACCTTCTAGGTCTATCCTGATTAATCTTACATAAGGGTATACAAATAATTGGATTGTGTTTCACTTTTTTTTTTTACATGATGAGGTTTTTGCCAGGAGAATCATCATAGCTTATTGAAATGTGGAGAAATTGATCTTATTATAAGAAACAGTTGTTCAATTTTTCTCTCTTTTTCTACATGTATTGTGTTTATTGTTTATGTCTGTAGTACATCATAAATGCTTGTTTTCTATAAATTCATGTTGTGGATTGTTTCCATGTATTGCGACAGATAACATTAACTGAAGCTTCATGGTTGTTAGGAGAGTTTATAATGAGGTGTGGGGATTACATTTACAGGTGATTCTAAGCCACCAGAAATTGTCACGGGTCTTAAGGGTCAGGAAAAGACTGAAGGTGACTCTGTTCGGTTCGAGGTCAAGATCACCGGCACCCCAAAACCGGACGTGAAATGGTTCCAGAACGGTGACGAACTGAAGAACTCCATCGATATTCAGATCTCGGATGAGGGTGACAGGTACATTCTTGTGATTCCGGAAGTTTTTGACGAGGACGCTGGCGATTACTCCGTCCGCGCCGAGAACGCCGCCGGTATCTCGACATCGCAGACCATTCTGAAGATCAGGAGTAAGTCCGGTACGCTCCCCGTCGGTTCTCATACGCCGTCGCAGCCTGCACCACCACCATTTCAAACTGACTGCATTTCTTCCCTCCCTTTGTGTTAAATATGTTCATAGTTTGCAATGCGTAGTCCATGTGCACGTCACTCTATGTCAAATTTTCATCATCGAGGGCGTCAGTCAGATATCAGTCAAAATCAAAATAGGAAATTTCCAGGTAGACAAAAACCTTCTATGGATAACAGAGCATTATGGGGTACAGAATTTGACATACCCAATGTTTTCCTTATTATAAAATTGAGATATGCTTTTCTGCATGTATACTCCTTCAAAACTTATTTAAGTATACATTTATGCAAAGATATAATCACAAATATCATGATTTTACTGATAAGACTGACACCTTTGAGCAATATACTGCTCATGAAGCATACATATTGAAAATGAGTAGTAGATATTAGAATCACAAATATGCTGATGTATTTTTCAAGCATTTCATTCATATGGACCGATATGCATTGATTGATTGATTGCCGACTCATGATTTCTCTACACTTTTACCAAGAAAATGAGAAGTTCATTTGTATGATCGTGCATTATTTGTAATCCTACGTCACCAGACACAGATCACCCTTGTCACAGATAAATTAATACATAAATGCATAATAGGCTTCTAACTGTATCAAAATTGTTTTGAATTTTACAAAGTTAGCAAAAGAGACTGAAAGAAATATAGGACATACATGTATGTGTGAATATTTTTTTAGCACTGGATTCCACAGTCAAGAATGTAATAAAGAAGGATATCATTCTATCAAATTTCATTTTCTTCAATGTTAAGTTTCATAACATTGCATCTTGTCTTCTTTGTTCAAAATAATTCTGGTATTGCACAATTTGGGAAAAATATTCATATATCTCTTCTTGTTTTGTATTGTAATTTGAGATTTGTATCAAAGACTTTGATGCTTAGATTTTATAGACGCTTTGCTAAAAACATCGAATTTAGTTTGATTAATGACGATAATTATTTTCGGTGTATTAAACCAATTTTCTATTTGCTAACGTTCATTTCTTTGGATGCAGTAGCTAGAATATAGTCTCTCGAGTTACTTCCTTTTTTTTCAATGGCTTCTGCTATTTTTACATCATGTTTTATATAGTGTCAAAAAAATCATCAAAAGCTCCACTCGTCTGCAGCAGTTAATTCAACTTTCATTTATAGATTAGTAGGAATGAGTAGAAATCTAGATGTTTGTACTACAAAAACAAAACAGGATTAAACTTCATGTAAATGTTAATAAAAAAAAGAAGAATATGGGGTATAATAGAACATGTTTGGGTTCCAAACTTGTAAGGTTTTAACCCCTTCATTATTTTTAAAGTGCAAGTTTCAAGCAATCTAGACGTAAAACAGCAGCAAATTAAGGCTAAATTTTTTCTGTAAATGATCCATTATAAGTGGCAAAATTCCTCAGTGGTGTGTGTATGTAGATAACAATTTATTGATAAATATAGATACTTTAGATGTATAAATACGTTTATTAAGGAATGGATGATGTAATGATTCTTCCAAAGTATATTTCAAAGTTGTGCATGATTGTGCATGTTAATGCAAAAGTAGACTTGTTATGTTTAGATATATTTAGAGTTAGTCTAACAAAAGGTTATGTAATATATTTCTACTTTGACATTGTATACTTCCCTAGATACATGTATGTAGTTTTTTTTGCATTTCTGAATGTCATAAACGCATGTTATAGTCTTGTATAAAGTATCAATTAAATCTATTTTTCAAAATGGTATATATTGTTTAGTATGGCTGTACAGTCTTTCCTGAAGGAGAACCTGCCAACTTTTAAATTAACAAATGAATCGATAGAATACATAAATATTTTCATGTAATTGTACGAGTAAGTCTTAAGCTTTAAAGACTATCATATTGATTCAAAAGGAAATATAGGAATAGTTTGTGATAAATGTATCAACATCTTTCATTGAGCACAGAAATGTCATACACAATTCATGCTTTTCTCATAAAGCAATTTATGTCATTGCAACATATATCGCACTTAATATAGAATTATAAGGCATAAGCATTGGTTATACATGTACTTGTACTTTCACATATGCTTAAATCTATTATCTACATCCAATTTCAATTGATTTGTTATGATTAATTTCATTTCTTGTCATTACTGCTCACACATAAAGTGTTTGTGCATTATCATATTCATGTATATGTATGCAAGAGAGATTTGAAAGTGTAATATTTTGTTTGGTGGATTCATAAAGCCATGTTCATTTGTATTATCACATGGTCACGAAACCATACATGCTTATACATGCTGTTTTTTCCCCTTTTCCTTTCAATGTCATATATTGATGTGATCATTTATGCATTTGATGACCTCATATTTATCTTGCATTTCAGTATCATTGAACATACCAAATTTTCCATATATATGTGCATTGCCAACAGTGATATGCAGAATTTACCAAGTTCTTATTCCATGAACATGTCATTTCTTGTGTATTTGCAATGAGTTATGCATTTCATGGAGTCATTAACAAGGAGAATAGGCAAGTTTCCTGCTGTCTGTAACTCATCAATGTGCCAGCAGAGTTTTGCAATATCAATTTAATCTATGTTTTCAAACAAATGTTACCTCTACTTGCACATATACTTTGTCAAACTTTCTTGTTTAAAGCTTTGTCGGTTCTTCCAAAAAGACTTTATATTTTAGTCCCCCCCCCCCCAAAAAAAAATAAAAAAAATAAATAAGGAACTTGGGTCTAACAATTAATTCGCATGTAGATGAGTTATACTGAAGGAAATTGGTCAATTCTATTGGAGGCATGTGTTCATGGTGGATGTATGCATAACTTTTGTATAACTATTTTTGTTTGATAAAGCCATTCCTTTGATTCTTACCACCAGACACTGCTCCTACTGAAGAGGTTAAGCCGCAACCACCACCACAAGAACAACCATTGCAGCAACAACCTCAGCAGAAGGAGGAGTCAGCACCACCACCACCACCACAAGAAGAGGTAAAGAAAGCAGAGCAACCCCAACCACCACCACCACAGCCACAACCAGAGGTGAGATTTCCAAAGGTTGTTTTGCTTGGTCCACCAAATGTCTCTTCCACTCATTGAAATGATTATTAGATGTTTATTAATTCAGGTTTCTGTATTTATTAAAAATTGTTGTCACGAAATGATTAAACATACCCTACTAATTTTTTTAGAGGAACATGTATAGGTTGTTTTTATATGCATACTATGCTAGATTTTATACTTTAATTATCAGAAAATAAACAATTCTATCAAGAAGGAAACCCTAAACTGATTGGGATAATTTAGAATCACAGGCTTTGAAACTTGTTGAATGATTGTCAGTCTCTCAATCCCTATAAATAGTGTGCTGTATGTATTAAGAGCATGCATTGTTCTGTTGAAGAAAATTTGATGGATGCCTTGAGAGCTCTATGTACATGTATCTTGGCATGGCTAAATTCGCTGACAACAAATTGAGCAATAAATTTGAAAAATATAGAAACTCAACTTTATCTTGTCTACTGCCCCTACTTTTGCTTCTATTTTTTAAAAACAATAGTCACTGTTATCGTTGTCTTTGTTTTTATTGTCTCATTGTAGGTGAAACCACCACCACCTCAAGCAGAGGTTAAGAAACCTGAGGCCGAGGTTCAGACTCCACCACCTGAACCTAAGCCTCAGGTTCAGCAACAAGTGCAACCACAAGTGCAACCACAAGTGCAACCACAAGTGCAACAACAAGTGATACTACAAGTGAAACCACAGCAACCACCACCAGCACAAGTCCAACAGACGGTGAGTTCTTTTAATAGTTTAAACTCTTTTTCATCCAAAATCTCATTGATAAAACCAGAATTAAATGGCCTAGTGCCTCTGCTAAATTTGATCTTTAAGCCAATTTCTTGATTGTAAGGAGAAATGACACAGAACACATGAATTATATGTATAATTCAGCATAACTCTGTCACAATAAGAGGGGCACCAACTTAACACAGAGTAAAATCTTGCCAATATATATTTCTCCATTTTTTGTCTAAAGGATTTGTTATCTTACATTTGTGGTATTCTATATTTTATATTATAGATTGAAATCAAGATGGCAGCTCCAACGGAAGCAGCAGCGCCCAAACCAGCGGCACCACCACCACCTGCTATTACCCATGGACCTGTCTTCACTAAGGTATGGAGTTTGTTCCAGCAATAATTGCTTCACAGAAAATATCCGGCACTAACTAAATTCTTAACTTCAATACTAAACCATACACTAAACCGAACTTAATCTTAATCACAACCTTAAACCTAACTCAAACACATTTGTAACCGTAAGCCTGTATCTTTGATGAAATAAAGCCTGGTGATTACCACTAGAGCATATGTTTGAGCACCAGGTTTATATTTCTTATAGAAATATCTATGGGTCCTTACACAATTATTCAGAAATATAGCATTACAAGAGTATAAAGGGAAGATGCTCAATATGGCCTGATATCCAATGTTCTTGATACTAGTAATGATCATGATAGTACCGACTATGATGATGATAAGTTGCTTCTGTGAGAATACCTTTGAAATGCCTGTAAAGATAGTTTTGTACAGGATGACTACTTCCAAGTCTTCTTCTTAACAAGTGATTATGTGTATAGTGAGACTTCGTCATACCACGCAAATGTGTTATTGCAGAGATTGCAGAAACAATATTGCTGAAATAAAATAATTTTATTTTTGTTGTTGCATCCTTTACAAGCTCTGACAAGCAAATGTAATTTTGAAAGAATTCACAGTGGTTTCCTCTAGTAAGCCACAACGTAGATTTGCCAAACATTGCTTATTTAATATCAATCTTTTCCTAACCTTCTTCTACAGACCCTCTCAGATGTCACTGTCAAAGAGGGTAAACTAGTCAAACTGGAATGTGTCGTGAAGGGTCAACCTCAACCAGAAGTCAAGTGGTACAGGGAAGGTACCCTCGTCACCTCATCCGTGGACTTTGAGATCAAATACACCAGTGGCGTGAGCTCTCTCACGATACCTGAAATCTACTACGATGACGCTGGGCAGTACGCATGCGCTGCCACAAACAGCAAGGGTACCAAATCTACCTCCTGTAATGTCAGGGTTCTACGTAAGTCAAAAGTCTACATTTCATTTTCATAAGTAAACTGACAAGTTAAACAAAGCAGATTTTAAACCTATGGAAAACACCTATTTTTAGCCTTGTTCAGATGGTCGCCCTACTTGCTTTTCCAATTCGGTAGGACTTTTGTGTAAGAGTGTAGAAGTGTTTCTGTTAGGTCCTTTTGCATTTTTAAATGTTGTTATTGAAAAATGTCACTAGTTGACGATGTGAATGTATTCATTAGTAAATTTTAGTAAAAAGTTTTTTTTCTTTAGTATTACACAAGGAATACAATTTTGAGAACTTATTTTGTGCTCTGTCAAGGTGTCAAAATGAAATGCGGCATCTGGTCATGCAGTATTGTACTTGTATATCTCATATAGTAATATCTTTTGTATATAGTTTTGCAGATATATAAATTTTGTATGTACTTTATTTTTTTATATGATTTGATATTTCCAGCTGGAACCCCACCACCATCAGCCCAACAAGCTCAACCACCACCGCCAGCACAAACGAATGCAGTCAATGACACAGAGCCTAAGAAGCCTAAAGAGAAACTCCCCATCGGCCCACCTGAGTTCTCCAAGCCCCTCCTCCCTGCCCGCTACACAGAGGGAGGGAAGTGTCGCTTCTCCTGCAATGTCGGGGGCAACCCAGCCCCTAAGATCACTTGGCTGAGACATGGACAACCTATCGAATCAGGTTACAGGTATGTAGAAGATCAATTTAGAATATTATAAGAGATTTTATGGAGTTTAAAACAAAAATGTTGTTGGACTAAACATGAAGTTTATGTCTTGTTTATTTCTGTTCTTTTTATAAAACTTCATGTAGTATGTCTGCTTTTTATTTATAGGAATCTCAGTATACCTTTCAAGAATATACAGGTTTTTGGTAATTTTCTAAATTAATGACGGGGTCTCTCTTTCATATCCAGTCATGGTTTCTTTTGGACCTTGTAACAGATTTGCAAGATAAATATATTATTCTGATTGTTATATGAATATGGACAGAAATTAGAAGGAAACATATTTCTTGTTTTCAGTCTCTGAACCTGTTTATTATGTACACTGTATATATGTAAAATTCAGAAGAGATCTGAACTGAAACTAACTCTAATCTCCATTCTTCTTGTCCAGGTTTGTTATCAAGTATGATGAACAGAAAGGATTGGCCACTCTAGACATCACCATGATTTTGGCCGAGGACAAAGGAGAGTACACATGTATAGCCAAGAGCAAGGCTGGTCAGTGCTACCTAACTGCTCCTCTCCTTCCAGGAGGTAAGACACTGGATTTAAATTTGAAATGTGAAATGCCTCTAGAAAAGGCTTTTGAAAGAGTTTGCAGAAGAGACCTTGTTCACATTTACATGCTTAATGCATGCTACCTGTGAAGATTAACCCATTTTTCATTTTAGGCCAGAGATGACTCTGGTTCGGTATTTACCAAAATCAAATCGATGAAACACCTTTTGGTCTGCCCCTCCCCCCTCCTCCTACCAGAACTGTGTACTCCTTATTAAAGACCTAGAAGTATTCAATGCCAAGCCCAGATCCAGATTGATTAGGTCTCCAACAAAAGTTACATTTTGATCTTTTCAGAATTTAACAGAATAAGCGAGTCTCCAAGAAAATTCTTTATAAATTTCATATTAGAAGACCTACTTATTTTGGGTGTTTTTTTTTCTCTCTCTGTGTAGCTCAATACGACCACTGGGCTAAGGAGTATGAGGAACAGAAAGCCATTGAGAAAGCCAAGAAGAAGAAGGACGTAGTGAACAGAGAACTTGAGCTTAAGGTCGCTGAGAAAGGAGGCAAGGTCACACCAAGCCAAACTACTTTCCATGAACCTGATCAGGTGAGTGCTGTCCTCTGGAACTAACTTGAAAATCGAGCATTAATCTTTTGCAGCTGGTTAGAATATTACCAAGATCTTGGTCAATTTCTTTAAAAACGTACATACATGTATGATTAATTGAGACATTTTGATTAATCGCACTTCTTTTGTGATTAGGCTCTAACATTATAGCCTGTATGATTACTACAATTATCAATTAGATGCAAACAATATGAAATCACATGAAAACAATAGAGAAAATATTTGATATGTAGTGATTGATGGATTGTATTATAGCATTTGTACAGATTAAAAGTTTACATGCATGCTTCATGATTATGTGGTGTTAAAAAATATGTGAAATATGCTGCAACCATTAGTACGGTTGACCTGGGAATCTGTTCATCATTGGTTAGCTTTTTAATCTGGCAACTTGAGATCTAAAGGATTAAACAAAATCATATTTTCATAAGAATGAAGATTTAAGTGTGCTTAACACACTTGATGGAAGTTTTAAAAGTTATTGTTTACTGAATTATTATTGTAAGTGGTGTGTATGATCATAGGCATCGTAGAACTTATAAAAAATGCAACGTTTGTTACCAAATGCTGCTTTGAAATAGTATTCATAGCATGTTCTGAGATGCCAACCAGTACGATTAAATCGTGTTTAGTACGATAATAAGAGTGAAATACGATAATACAATATTTTCTCATTAAATTTTAATGAAAGAGCAAACATTTTACTTGACCGTACTTATATTAGTAAAACATGTTTTCTGAAATTTTACTGGCCCGGAGCCAATGGGCCAGTGGTAGTGTCAAGTTTTCCTGAAAATCAGATTTTTCTCTCCAAACTCTGATTTTTTTTTTAGAATACTCAGTCTGTTTTTTTATATCAAGAGGTTGGCATCTCTGCATGTTACTTTGTCAATCTGGAAATGAAATTCATGGCTTGTTGAGTGAAACCTGTCTTCTTGTAGTTGCCCTTTAGCCCTATCCCTATCAAAAAATGTTAAATTCATGCTTGATTGTGACCTTGGCATGTACACCTGGCATGGTTGCAATGTAAATCATAGGATACACCCCAGAGAAGACCAAGCCTCTCGCCATTCCTGCAGCGTATTCAGCAGGAGGTAGAATATCGAGATCGTGCCGATCGCACCAGCGAGTATCAACCACCAATGGAATGGAAGGTACCCTCCCCCCGTCATCCTTCATCATCGTGTTTCCACATTTCATTAGTAGATTAGTGTTTTGATTCCGCTTGCAGTGTGAAACATTGTGTAACCATGTCATTTTCAATTGATTTCTGTGTATTTTTAATTCACATGATTGTTTAATTTTTGTGTGCACCTAATTTCACTGAGAGTGATGTACTTTACCACCAGATTCTAAATTAGAACATTTAATTAATCAGTCATGATTTAAAATAATTTCCTTTTCACAAATCAGTAGATTTCCTTCATCATTTAAGCTAAGCTTTCTGAAAATTAATTTGTTGCATTTCTTTAATAATAAAGCAGGTACACAGAAGTTTGCCAATGAAGATTTAAATTTAGATAGCACTATCCTCTTGTGGAGAAAAGGAGGACTTGATTCAGTATTATGTTTCTGTGTGATTTACACAATGGGTACTAGCAAAATGGTGTCTACATAATAACTTTAAAATTTCAATAATACAAAATTATTCTCTATGCAAGTTCATTTTGTGCAAGAGATTAAGTTCAATAAATGTCCATGCTTCATTCATTAGCATTTTCATAAAAATGTCCATCTGATTATTCAGTTATACCATTTCCATTCTCATAATGACTGAAAATATTGTGTATTTTACTTCCACATGATTTCTTTAAAGTATTCACTTTGAATCAATGCTTTGTGCATTTATACAGATTTATAGTTCATAGTGTCAAATATTAAAGTCTAGAGAACTGTATTTTCATGTCCATGAGTGATTTCCATCTGATTTTATTCAGCTATACCATTTCTTTTCTCATAATACATGAACATATCATATATTTTATTCTCACATGATTTCTTTAAAGTATTCACTTTGAATCAATGCTTTGTGCATTTATACAGATTTATAGTTCAAACTGTCAAGAATTAAAGTCAAGGGAATTGTATTTTCATGTCCATGAGTGATTTTGAATCTTTGCATGCTCTTTTTCTTCAAATAAGTCATCATTTTCTTTTTGTACATAATGGTGAGAAAAAAACAATATAATCCAACTAGTGTACTTGAAGAGAAGTACCTTTTGTGTGATATGATATTCAAAGTATATTTCTAAAACCAAGGTTAAAAATTATCATCAAGCCAAAAATTAATTTTGAAAAATACTATTAATCAAACTGCATTTAATTGTGTCAATATTTTTGGCTCACAAACGCTGAAAGATTATAAATTTATGTATAGGAATTTCATTTGCATTGTGATTTGATGGATGTTTTGACATGCAATGGTGATTTACATATCATGTGTTTTCATCTACATATTAAGCTTTTAAATGTAAATAGTTAAGCATGATTTTTATGTGCAAGTTCACATTTTTTAGAAAGAGAATTATAGTAGATGAGCTGCCAAATCAACGATGTTTATAAGCTCACCGAAAGATTCTTTGCTGATTGCATGCTATAATACTAAAAACAAACAAACTAAGCTGCATGTTAAAATGGAACGGAAATGAGTATACAAAAATGGGATGCTCCATCTTTTCAGACAACCAAGTTGTCACCATTTGAGAGACGTCTTATGAGAGAGGTGGAGATCCGTGAACAGGAGACAGGCCCGCGTCCGGGTCCAACTGCCGATCAGGTACACACCTTGTTTTACCTCACCAGCTCAAAGTGTGCTTGAAGTGTTTCTTTTTTTCTTCTTCAAAAGTTGATGATCAAAATGATATTAGGGGTTTATCTTTAGATGTGTATTTGACATTGTATAAAGTAGTTTACCATGTTCACTTAAATGGATACCAAGATTTTGTAGGGTTTATCTATTCGTGTTTCCATACAAGATAAATATCTTTTGCAACAAATAAAGCACTGGCTAAAATGATTGAATATCTCTCCCCTTTGTAAACAGAAGGGTAAATGTAGCCCCAGAAATGCTGTTATATTGTAACAAGGTTTTAAGATTACCCTATTTGTGAATCAGAAACATGTTCATTGTTTCAGAATAATTGCATTATTTTTATTTTAAAGTTTGGGTATATAGAATATTTTTTACAATTCATTAACAATCATAGGGATATGTAGAATTTGTTGTACCATTTGTTAAACATCATAGGAATATATAAATATTGCATTGGCACTTAGTTGCCTTTTAAAAGTTTCATGGTACCAGCATCAATGGAGTTTATTTTTTTACATGTATGAGTTAGTCACATAATTGTGGAACATGTAATTATTGTTCTTTCCGAATGGCTCAATTTTGACACTAAACAGGGCGAGAAGCTTTCTTCATTTGAAAATCGTCTGGAAAAAGAGATTCGATTCAGGGAGAGGAAGTCGTCTACAGACTTTGATGCTCCAGATGCGGTGTGTAACAGACTTGCGATGCGCAAAATGGTAGAACTGATGATTAAGTGGCATTTCATTCAAACTTGTTCTTGCTTGTTTGTTAGGCAGTGTGCAATTTATACAACTTTACCTCGACTTTAGAGAATAATCCTGTTCACTTTATTTTCACATTCCTATAACTACACTTTGCCACTGGAAACCAGAATACACTTTTCTCCCATAAAAGGTCTCTCCGCTAGGTGGATACTCTACAAATTACTACATGTAGATTCCAACCCTTACATTATTAAAGAATGAGGAACTAGTATTTGAAACATGCCAATTGTCCATATAAGTCTCTCCATTGCACTAATGCATAATTAACGTCCAATCTTTCATAATTACGAGTATGCTTACTACTCAAGATAACTTTCTCTTCCTTTGCCCGATTTTCTGTATTACAGTTGCATACATTAGGTTCTCTTCCTTAAATCAACTAAAAGTGCTAGTGAAAATATAAGTCTTTCTATTACATTGATATACATTATATTCCAATTCCTGTACTATAGAAAATATCCCAGTTCTCCATCTAAGTCTCTCCATTATACTGCAATACGCATAACCAGATTTCAGAGTTCAAATTAAGTAAGATATACTATTAATGTATGATCCAATTATATGGGTTATTAGCAAACCAAATACTAATACTCTATTCCTCCATTCCAAAACTTCACATCACATTTGCTTCAAAACAGGCTGTGAACCAGCCCTTCCATGGGTTAAAAGAATTGCTCCATTACTAGCAAACCTCTTGAACAAAACAAAACAAAAATGATTATTCCACATCATATGGTGAAATCTTAATGATGAGCAAGACAAAACTTGAAATGCCATTTGAAATCAGTGCTACCAGTCATGCAGTGTGATCTTTGCATGTATAAATCTTGTTACTTGTGCTCTGCATGTTGTACATGTACTTTTTATTCTTAGAGATTTGTTGTGAGAAAATTGAATGTTCTTATGTGAACTGCAGTGTTTTTGTATTTGTGACATATTTTTTATAATATTGTAGTTGGAATTTTATGTAAAGTTCTGTTTTAAAAGTATATCTGTAAAAGAAAGCATGATTTGATGTTGATGGTGCCTCTTTTACTCTTATATAAAATGAAATTCAGTGTATACTGTGTGTACACTATAGTATAGTGTAGAATAGCATGTCCTCTGTCATATCTGCATGTACGTCAAAATAGCATGTGTGGCCAGTTTATTTTTGTTCACTTTATATCATAGAGGTATAGTTTTGTTTATGTTTCTCTTAAATCAATCTGCCGAAAATACTCTACCATGTTGATGTAGTGTTTTTATAGACTTCTGGTAAATCTTGTCTTGTGAAAAAGTTTCTCAAATACCTGCCATTCTCCAAAAATACCTATGGATCATCATCAATGATGGGTAAAAAGAGTTTATTGTGAATTAAAAGTTTGCATATCCAGATTCTTAGATTTTGTTATGTAAGCAAAGAAGTAACGAGTAGTTTAAGCTTCTCCCAACCTTAGAATTTGGTAGGGAAGCTTTCATCCAATCCTGTGGACTTTGTCAAGTCAAGTGATTTTTGCCTTGAGATCACTGGAGCGAAGATAGATGAAAATAATTCACTGTGGTCTCAAGGCAGCAGACAGTAAGAAACTGAATAGTCACTTGGCTTGAGAAATTCCACAGGAGTGGATGAAAGCTTGCCTTATAAATGTTAAGGTGGGTAGGAGCTTAAACTACTTGTTATAATAACTCCAACCGATGACATTTTTCTGTATCAAGCAAAGGATTATATAGCTTGTAGCTGATGGTGCATGTTTTTTATGTGATGTGAGCATGGAAGGCCTTTATTTTGTGAGTAAAATATTTCCAATGTATCACTTGTGTTAGATTGTGATACGATTGGTTCATTCCAATTGATTTACAAAAAAATGTGATGTCCATTTATAAGTGTTGTTCTATGGTGGTTTACATGTATTTGGCTATGTGGTAGCTAGGATCAGATATGTCATTTACCTCAACAAAGCAGAGGTGTATTTGTCCATTTTATATCATCCAATGAAAGACAATAACTTTTTCTTTGGTTCCACATAAGTTAAACCATTTTCAATTCATACATCAACCTCGCCTTTTATACATCCAGTACAATCAGCTCTTGTGTTATCAATGATATTATCAAAATGTTTGTTGATAAATTGATATTGCATATAATGGTATAAATACATGCATATATACACATGTCGTTCTATACATGTTTACGTCGAGTTTATAGTCTAGTATTTCATTTTCATACCTATAAATAGTACTTTGGACCCTTCTGTTTTGTCCTGCATTCTATTAAGTCATGTAATAACTTGTGTGTGAATATATGTTTCTTTTGGTTTGAAAATTTGTTGTTTTGCACATTTCTTATGTAGTTCAGTAGTGTATTTTCTTCGGTACAGTACACAACTGTTTGTGTATGTGTAGTTACTAATTTATCTATTTCATGAAGACGTAACAAAGGTTTGCAACAAAATATGTTACAAATATTTTAATGCTTTCTATTTTAGGAGTAAGTGTGGAGTGAATAAAGTACATGACTTAAAGTGGACGTGATTGGATAAGCTAAGGGTCATATATTTTATGAACAAATATAAACTGTGATATTTCTGATATACATATCCTGGTCAATTGAAATGACAACAAAAAGGAAACAATCGATTGTTGAAATGCCCACTATTAATTTAAAATTTCTACTTGTTCTTTTCAAGATGCTTTTCATTTCATTCCGAACAATAGTCTAATTTGACTTAATTTTGTGAAATGTTGTTTTAATTTAAAATTTCCACTTGTTTTTGTCAAGATGCTTTCCATTTCATTCCAAACTCTAGTCTAACTTGACTTTAATCATCATTATTGTAATATCCCAGGGTCCATTTGATGTGGCCACATTTGAAGCTAGCCTTCTGAACCAGAAGCAGCCCCAGGAGAGTGAGATGATGGAAGCCGAGACGGAGACTGAGCTCGAGTCTGAGCTAGAGACCTCAGAAGCCAGTCAACAGAGGGCTCCACGCTTCCTCAAGGAACTCAAGAATTATAAAGTCCCTGAGGCAGGAAAGATCTCTCTGAGCTGCCGTGTCGAAGGCAGACCAAAACCATCTGTAAGTTCCACTTTTTGTTCCTCTATTTAAAGGTATAGACTTGTTTTGGAAACTCTCCCCTCTCAAAAAATGAAATGGAAGCTCTTAGTACCAATCATGTGAAAGAATATGTTTTGACTAATACGTGATGATACACGTTGCCGGGAAACCGCCTACTAATTGATATATTTGGTAAATTATTATATCTATCCAGACTGGATAGATATCGCGTAGTCCCATTTTCATTAAAATATTTTGACAATATGATTCATTCTGGCTAGATATAGTTTATATCTTCTCAGAACTTTATTGATCTATAAAGATGTAAAATAATAGGTAGTTCAATATAATGGTATCTATTACAACTCTTTGCAGCCAATTTAAAGTTCATCCAAAACATATGTTGTGTCTGGTGTGAGTCTGTGTCATTTAAACTTTTTCTTTTCTTCTTTAGAATAGAAATGCCTCCAGTAACTTCTTTTCTTTCCGTTACATGATAGATATTCTCATATATATATGCCCCTTTCGGTGTGTTACACCATGCAAACATACTGCATCAAAATGGATCTTTTCTTAAAACGCAGATCCAATGGTTCAAGGACGGCTACCCTGTTCCAAAGTCAACTCGCTACGACCTCTCCTACATGGAAGGCTTCTCCCAATTCCGCATCGACCCCATCCTACCTGAAGATCAGGGTGCTTACACTGTCTTTGCCTGGAACCAGTTTGGCAAGGCGGTCAATACCGGTCTGATCAAGGTTCAGAGGCAAGGGTCAGATGAGGTCAGTCATATGAAAGGTGCCCTTGGTGCTCGTGTCCACATGTGAGTATACACTACCTTACGTTCAGTATTATCTGTCCTGTGAAAAATATGATTCATTTCATACATGCTTATTATTTTAGGCTCTTATGTTATCCTTAAACCCGCCCATGCCATAGGCGGAAAATCCCACCGAAAAATTTGAGTGTTCAACAGTGTGTTTGGACTAAGGATGGTTAGATTTCTTCTTACCAACATTAAAGCAGATACATGCAATGTGAAGTTTAGTCTCAATGAAAATATGTTATACCTCTTCTAAAAATAATACAAAGCTCAACAAGTTATAAATAAGCTATTGAAAGTTAATTGATGAATTGATGACAATTGTTCTAAATCTCAATGCCCTCATTTAAAGAAGGACAAATAGGAAAAAAGTGCCCACAGTTTTCATAAAAATAATTTTTTGACAGACATGGACTGTAACAGAAAGTTAGCCCCTGTTGCATTTGAAGACTTGTCTAAATGGAAATGTGATCTAAATCAATATTTACACATGTACATTAATGCAGAGGACACCAAATTGAAGAAAATATTCTATCCTAAATGAAATATATTTTAAAAATTAATTTTTTCCTCTCTCGTTCCTATCTTATCATTGAAATTTTTTCCATCGCAGGGATGCCGAGGAGTACCACCTCCCTGATCGTGAGAGGCAACCTGGTGAGGTGAGAGAAAAGCACTACAAACCCACCTTCAAGGTCATGCCCAGTGACCTTGAGGTGAAGGAAGGCAAACTGGCTAGGTTCAACTGCAGGGTCACTGGTCGACCCCCTCCAGATCTCGTCTGGTACAGGAATGAGATGCCCGTCTACCCAGATGCCAACCATAGGGTGAGGCCCTGTCAATTTTATCATCATATCTTTACTTATGTTATATCTATCACCGTTTGTTCTTTATTACCATTCGACCCCAAGCCTTGCCATAATTTTGATGATAAGAATTCAACAAATAATTTGATCATAACATACCATTGAGATTGTTGATGTCATCAATTTGATATTTGTTCGGTGCCATACTTCTTATGTAATAGACTGAGGAAACGGGTATAAAAGTAGACTGAATACATTCAAACCTTTTTAGTTACACTTGTATAGAAAGACCATCAATTTTAAAAACACATTCTGTTCCTCTTCAACCTATATTGAATGAACCAGCTCAAAATAACATAATGCTGATAACGGCTTTCCATGTTTTCCTGATGATTTTACTGTATTTCTATCTTTTGACTCAATACAGGTACTGGTGAATGAGGGGGGTGAGCATGCCCTCATGATAAGCCACGCCCGCCCTCAGGATAGTGGTATGTACACCTGTATCGCTAACAACAGGGCAGGAGAGACCAAGTTCCAAGTCAAACTCCATGTAGATCGTAAGTCTGATGTCCTCCACTGAACTCCAAATTGCTACAGTAGAGCGCTTTCGCAATCACGACAGAAGAGTTACGGGGATACAGTTCTTCCGTCGTGTTTAGGGAATGAACGCTATAATGGCCGCGTACAGTCGTAAAAATCAACGGGACAGAGAAAATTCTGGTTCGCGCATGCGCAGATTGTTTTTTCGTACAAGTTACCATCGTCTTTGCCTTTCGTCGTGTTTGCGAAAGCGCGCTAGTGTTTTGAAAGATACACTACATATACATTGTACTTGTGACAAAGGTTGACTGTGGCAATCTTCTATTTGTTCAATTAGTCAGCTGAAGCAGAAAAAGAGTTAATGGTTTTTCTCCTTGTTTCCATTCTCATGAACAATATAGATTGGTGTGCAAGTTATCATTTATGGTCAGAGATGCATAGTTGCTTAAATTTGATGTACTTCACTGGATGACAAGTCATGGTCTCCATTTTTAGAATCATCTTTAATTCATATTTTTATAGGAGGTTGAGAACCTCTTTTGAAAAAATGTAATTACTTCAAAGTGTATAAAGTTACCTCTTTTGAAATACTGTTGTGAAATTACTTAATATGCATATATTTACAGCTTAGTATGAAATGAAAACAATTGCTAGGTTACAGGGCTCTTCATCAAGTGAAACATTATCTTAGGAGAGCTGCATGAACATGCTCTAATATGCTAGACATTGTTCATATATTTGTTATTTTACAAGTCATCCTCTTCCCAATTTCACAAATGCAGCTAAGAGGCAGCTGGTGGCACCCTCCTTCATCGATCGTGTTGTCAATGAGACGGTGCGAGAGAACGAAGCCGTGACCTTGACCTGTAAGGTCAGCGGGTGCCCCACCCCTCATGTCTCCTGGCAACGAGACCAGAAGCACATCATGCCTAACGCCGGCGGTTACAGGTATGTAGGAATGACTTTGATCATTGAATTTAAAAGAATCAATGAGAGCTTTCACAAGTCATTTTTTAGAATGGTGGTAGTTTGAAATGAGGAATTGCATGAACTGATCGTGTAATTCAAAGCACTGTACATGTGCTATTAATTCTTATTCTTAATATCAAGGTGCTCAATGCTAAATCTTCTCTCACTCTATATTGATATGTAAGGCATTAAAAGAAAATGTTCTATTAGTAATTATTAAAATGAACCCGTGGTCCTGATAACACGCATATGATCATATAATCAATTGATTGATCGTACAATCAATTAATTGTACAAAGCTGCCAATTGCAAAATTTGCTATCATTCCACATCTTCTCTTTGCGTCATTTTTTTGGATTTATAGAGTTTGCATTTTTCAGTTGATGCCAATGTTTTTTGCTTACCCTAGAATGCAAATGAGTGAGGACGGAGTGTGCCAGCTGTTCATTGAGAGAGTCACTCGTCATGACAGCGCCTGGTACACGTGCACAGCACACAACTCGGCAGGACGCGTCTCCTGTAGAAGTAGAGTCCAAGTGATATGTAAGTAATACTGGATTTTATCAGAATTTGTAAATACAGATTCAACACCTTTTACAAAAAGATCTTCAGTGCAGTTAACATAATTGTTTTAATTGAAACAGATTAAAAGTTTGTTACAATGCTCAATATACATGTCTCCCATATATGAAAGTAATTTTTACATATGACTTTTCTATAAATGAACAAGAATCAAAACCAAACTTAAGCTCTTGATTTAAAACTGAACCATTTTAATTATGTGATATCAATTTAAGATACGGACAGACATGTATCTGTGTACCTCAATGCATGTTGTTTTGGTGGATATTTACATTTAATGCAACTTTTATGCTGTCATTGGGAATTAGTTTTCATTGTGTCAGGATAAAATTAAATCCCTGTTATCAATATATACATTTTATTCTCTCTCATCTCCAGATGACAAACTGATTAAAGATAATGAGCCAGCTCCCATCTTTCAAAGGCGCCCAACACAGAGGTAAGAATGTAGAAATGAATAGTAAATGAAGTAAATTATTAAATTCATCTTCTATGAGAATTGAATCTTTTGTGAATATGCTTTTAGTTTTAAGACTAGGTGTTGTCGCATGTATCTCCTGAAGGCTTATTGGGCATGAATTTAAAAAAACTAGGTCATTATCAATGAATTTGATTATTCTACTGTAGATCACAAATGAGATGTTTCATTTGGTTAACTAGGATTTACCTTTTGAATGGTGAGCATGTTGCCGTGACAGATACAAAGTTATCTCGGAGCATGTACCGCAGGAGCAAGTTTATATATTTCATAACACATATATAGATAATAGAAAACATTCTTTTAAGGTTTGCTTGGGGATTGGAAATATGTAAAATATGAATGAATGCTAAGTCCCACTGTGTGCTTATTTTATTGGAGATTTAATACAGAGGACATTTTTATGGGATGGACATAATATGAACCATACTATATTTTCCTGATAATTCAGTAGCAACTTTTCTCTTGAATGTTGTGCATGTTTGTGTGGATGCAGGGAGGAGTATGCTATCTATTACAGGTAAACAGTGTCAGCGTTTGTATAATCCCTTAGGTTTGAATGTATTGATTTGCAGGTGGATATGAATTTATTTGTAGCTACATGTGTGGTAGATAAAGGGCGCGTTCATGCTTGATTTTGAAGGCAGAATGAGCAATTTGTAACGCTCATCATAAACGCTCATCGTAATCGCAGTTCCACGGTGCACTGTTCATGCTTACTTCTCCAGGCAATTCTCCTTGGGTGGCCTTCAGCTGGATTCGCAAACCTGTGTGCGCATGCTATGTAGACCCACTAAAGGTCAGTGCGTTGACCCTATTTAAACGCGTTTACAAATTGTAAACTCATCTTTTTGTGAGTTTACGATCAGCGATCATGATCGCCGTTTTTCGGTGATTCTACAAAAGTGAGCATGAACGCAATCGTGTTTTAAACTAAACGCGTAACAGATGCCTGATTCTGGCCGTCAAAATCAAGCATGAACGCGCCCAAAGATCATGGTTTGAAATTTCATGCAGCTGTAATATTTGATAATCAGCATAATTGTTGGCTTTTTGAAGAGTTTTAAACAGAAACTTATACATTGTAAATAATCCATTTAGTGTTTGCAATCATGTATTATTGTAGGTTGATTTGAGGTGAAAATCTTTACAGATGTTCATGTATTTGCAGCTAGGATTTATTAATCAAACAGTACATGAAATATGCTCTCTGTTGTTGGTTAAGTATTCATTGCTTTAATGAAACAACCAACAACAAAATACCTGGGTTTGATTGATGAGTGGCTTTTGGAGTTGTTTGTGTTCTGTATTTTACAGGTGTACTTATTATTAGTTATGTGTAAACTATAGATTGCATTTTAATTGGTAGCTTCATATTTATGATTTATTAACCCACAGCAGGCTGGAATACATGATCAGTGAAGGGTAAAAAATGTCAAGTGTGTAACACACAGCACCGATTTCCCCCTCCATTTTGAACTTTCATGTACATTTCAAGTTGGGTGCTTATTCCAAATGTGTGTTTCAGTATTTTGAAGGTCTGTTTTTACTCAAATTTGATCATACTGGATTTAATTTGAAATTAAAATAGTAGCAGTATTTATGAAAATCCTAACCTTTGTTTATTAGAATTAATGTAAATGCAAAGCTAAAAGCTTTAATTTTCTTTTATCGAGCTATTACTCCTGTGAAACATTTGGCTTGATGTTGATATCTCACCCAACTTGAAATATCTGAGAAACATGTACATGTCTATTTTTATAGTTACATGTATTTGTATAATTAAGCTTCACGTTTTAATGATTACGTTTTATGTGGTTCTATGTTGATGTACATGTAGTAAAGGGCTCCCTATTGTGATTGAACTAAATATTACCAAACGTGTAATAATGTCATAAAACACTTACGATTGCAGTTCACCCCAATCTATGTGCAAATGTGTAGTCAACCCACGAAATATATTGTGTATAATTATCTACATGCATCCTGGATCTAACTTTTGTAAAGGGTAAGGCTGATGATCAGGAATTTTCTTGAGAAATTTAATTGGTCATAATTAAAGCTCAAAGAGAAAGAGGGGAGAAAAGAAAAAGGGACCCTCACACAGTTACTTATTTTTAGCATATGGCAATGAGACACCTTTTAATACATTTATTTATAAATATTTAATTGTCTCATGCTATATGCTATATTATAGATAATCATATAAAGATGGCTTTTGTGGGAGATTTTTTTTGTAATTACAATTGTGTTATTCAAGTAATGTCTAATAAAAAAATATACAGGGACTATATATTTACCACTTTTGAAGCACATCCCTGATACCCCCATAAACATGAGAGGATATTAAAGAGCACTCTGAAGTGATGCACAGAACCATTTGTTACTCACTCCATTTAATTACTATACTTCCAGCACTCCTCCTTGCCCTCTTTTAAGTAATTTATGATATACAGTGTGCAGTTTATATAATCATATTTATGAATTCACATACATTTAGTTAGAGCAACAGAATGGTTTTGGAAGATCTTTGAAATTGACATAGCACTGTGTTAAGTACCCTTCTCCAAAAAAGTAAAATAGGGTTGAATTCTTTTTAATGAAAGAAGAAACTGTATTCATAGACTATTTTTTATCTCTTAATGAACTTGTAGGATTCGGGTAAATGTGAAATATTTCCATGTAAACTGCTTCATGAAATTTGCACAAGGAAGATTGAATTCCCATGTATGACTCATGCAGCGCTTTGATACATATATTTGGTTCTTTATTTACTATGCGAAAGAAATGTATGCATGGGAGCTATTAAAAGAGAATGATGACAATACATCAAAATAGAAAAAATAACCCAAATAAGTATATGATTTATGTTTTTAACATTAGATTCAATTCTCCTCTCTTCTGCAGTAAAAAACCTCCCCCAGCGCCTGAGAAAGAAGATATCCCAAGCTATGTAACACAGTACGATGGAACACAAGACGGTGAGAAGAAACCAAGCATCAAGCCGGAGTTCGTCGTCCCACTCAACAACAACCTGAAGAAGAAGGAGGGTTCCAGTGCACACTTTGCCTGCCGCCTCCAGCCCGCCGGAGACCCTACCATGAGGGTGGAATGGTTGAAGAACAACACTCCACTCTTCATCGGTGAGTTGAATTGCTTGTCTACCTCCATGTCAGCAGAATCTTTACAGCTCTTGCCTTTTTTACTCTTTCAAGATATGGACATAAATTATGGACATAAATTATAAAATGCTTTGTGTGGTCAGCCATTAAAGTACAAGTTTGATATTGTCCGCTTAGTGTTGTCTTTGTTTCCCAGGGGCTAATGGAGCCACTGCAGGTATCATGTCTTTTTTGTAAACTTAAATTTGGGTGCTTTATGATTTTTTTCAAACATTCTTGAGAACTTTCCAATATAGATTTCCTTGCATAGGCTTATGATAGAGAAATTAGGATAATAATCAAACAAAAGAAATGCATATTCAAGAATGTATATTCATGGAGTTTCATGTTTTTGTGTTTTCACTTATCAAACATATTACAAAAATGCTATCCTTTATAATAACTTAACAGTAAGAAGATGATTTCACCAAAAGTAACTAAACCAATTATAAAGATATAGTTCATCTCTCAGCTGAATGATACAACATACAATACTTGTACATCTCCCATGGTTTGGTTTTCACAAAATGTTGTACTCACATCCTTTATGCTGCTATAATGCCATGATGATTTGCATGAAGAAAAAAATTGACTCACACTTCTTGTATGGTCTATTCAGGATCAAGAGTACAAACCAAATACGAGTTTGGAATCTGCAGCCTGGACATCAAAGGTGTCTACCCGGAAGACGCCGGTACAATAACGTGCCGAGCAACCAACAAGTATGCACAAACTGAGACAACTGGAACGCTGACTTGCGATGGTAGGTTCAGGGAGCAAACTTATAACTGGAGGGCAGAACATTTGCAGATCCTTAGAGATATGTATTTATTTTAATTATGGTAAAGGAAAAAGGTCAATGGGGGAATCGGAAAGAGAAATTAAGAGAAAAGTGGTAAATTTAGAGGAAATGGACTTTTGGAAACTGGCAAAGTGGGATTCATTAAGCTCTATTAAGAATATAGAGAGGATAAGAGAGGAATAGTCTAGGCTTAAAGGAGGTGTATATTCCTTTACACAGTTTCTGAGGTTCATTATCATACCATGAACAAAAATTCCCTTCACCTTTCAGTCATTTTTGTCCTGTTATTTTTCTGCATCTCATTACATTAAAAAAAAACATCAATTAACTGTTGTCTTTCTTTTGGTTGTCTCTGCAGCTGAACAGTCACTTATTCTGGACACCCAACTACCTGAAGAGATGAGAGGGATTGAGAAAACTATCAAGTTTGATGAATACCTCTCAGCGTAAGTTTCTCATTAAACAAAAATTATTGTCATATCCTTAGGTGTAATTATGTGATAGTGCCATCTTTTTCATATTGCAAGTACAAAGTTTTAGCAAATCATTAGCTACCTACAATATCTTCTTCTTCTGATTAAGTCTGCCTCCTTCAATAGACTAAAGATTCTTACAGACTATGTGCGTGTGTGTGTTAAACCGCAATTTACGTCCATTCCAGTGCTATTTACATTATATTACAGTTTATTTACAAATATGTACAAGCGGCATGTATCATTGACAATACAGTCAGCAGATGGAACCTCTTTTCTTATGGAGAGCTCTCTTTGTAATTTGGTAGAATTCATCCATAGAACTTTTTGAACTTGTCAGGAGATTTTCAGGTCTTTCAAGAATTAAATATTGGTGATCTATTCTTGTGAATGTATCTTTGAAGATGCTTGATGCAAAGTTTGGTAATGACAAACATCATTCAACTGGCATATATATATATATATATATGTATATGCAGGTATAATTCACATTAAAGAATGTGACTGACATTACATCTCAACATGTTTTCTGATTGACCAATATCTTGTAGGGGTGACTTTCCAGATGATAGCAAATTCCCTTCGGAAGAGTTCTGTCGCCCAGAATTGGTGACGGTTCCGGAGCCGGTGAGCGTTTTGGAAGGCGAGAGTGCACGTTTCTCATGCCGGATCTCAGGAGTACCGGTACCAAGGGTATCGTGGTTTAGAGAGGATCTGCAGGTCTTTGGGGTAAGGTTTTGTCACAGGATCATAACTGGTGGTGATGATGATAGTGATGATGATGGTGATAATGTTGGTGATAATGATGGTGAAATTGATGTTAAAATGATGTTGACGTTGATGATAATGATGATGGTGGGGATTAAGGTGATTACAGTGATGATGGTGGTGATGATGATAATGATGATAACAATGGTGAATATGATGATGATAATGGTGATGATGATAATGATCATGATAATGATGGTTATGATGATGAAAATTTCTGAATATAATGTTGATAATGGTGATGATAATGATAATGATGATGGTGGTGATTAAGGTGATTATAGTGATGATGTTGGTGATGATGATAATGATGATGACAATGGTGAATATGATGATGATGTTGTTGAAGATGATTAATAATGATGAAAATTATGATAATGATGATGATAAGGGTGAATATAATGCTGATAATGGTGATGATGATGCTAATGATGATGATGATGCTAATGATGATGATAATTGTGTTGATGCTGGTTGATGTGTTGATGTCTACATTGATGAATTGTAATGTATCAATAACGATGATGCTTAAAATGGTGCTGATAAGGGCAATGACTTCATCACCTTTTTCATCACTTATCTTGACCCTTCCAGCAAGGATCTCGCATGAGGTCTTGGTTTGACGGTATACACTACATGGAGATCTTCAAGGCCCGTGTTGCCGACTCTGGAGTCATCCGATTGGTCGCTCGCAACAAACTGGGTATGGTGGAGTTCAAGACAAAACTAGAAGTCAAACCAAAGGAAGCCTCACTGCCACTACTGAAGCCAACGCCTAAAGGTAACATTTCATACAAGGAGAAATAATAAAATGTATATTATTGTTCACGTTTGTATTCTAGTAATCTTGGTGCTCATTGTAAGAGGATACTTGAAGCAAGTTAAAGTTTAGTAGAAGTGTGTAACTTCTTTTCAAGAAAGCATTAATTTAAAAAATGTTTTATGTTAGAGAGTGAATTGGATATTTGTATCAAGATTAAAATTTGATCGTAGTAACTCAAGACGTTCATTAAATAGAAACGTGCATTGTTGGTCAAACAGTTTTTGAGCATCATGTAATGTTTTGCTGGAATGCTCCCCAGGGAGTGGAAATTGTGCACACATTGTGTGTGGGCAAGCACTGAATCCAATGACCGGGGTAATAGTATATTTGTAAAGCGCTTAGAGACATTTGTATTAAGCGCTATACAAAAATTAAATATTATTATTATTATTATGATAATTGTGTTTTTAGGAGATTTCAAAGGCATTTTCTCAGAAGTGAATATAATATGTGTCAGTTCAAGTTCTGTTTCAGAGTCTGATTTTGCTCCCACAACTTTCATGAACATGTACATGTAGGTAGGAATGTCATCAGGTTATTAGTAATTTGAAGAGGAATTTGTGTATTATTTGAAAGGAGAAAATAGGGAGAGAAAAATCATGTTTGAAATTGTGAAAGTATGATCTCACTAGTAAAGCACTATATATTGCATATTTTGAATCTTTCAGACGAGAAAGTTCTCCAGACCAAGCCAATGATGCCTGGATTACAGAAGATTCAACAAGCAAAACCACGTAAGCATGCCTTGTCTTTCTTTTGTGTTGATCCCAGCCTCTCCATGTTTTCAAGAAAGTGATTCGTTAAAAAATATTGTAATACAATTTCATGGAAGAAATCTGGATAGTGTCAGGGAATTGGATATTTTAAATAATGATTGAGAAGGAATGAAAATTTCAGCAAACATCCATGTGTGTACTTTTATTGTACATTAATATCTAGCTCGTCTTGGTGTAATGCAGTGATTCAATTTAAAGAACTTTGTAATGTAACATGCATGTAATAATTAGAACAATAGACATACAAGGGATTTTTTTTACACAGCATTGGATTGTACTGGTAATTTATTGATAATGTGACTGGTTAAGAACAGATTGTATTTATATTTCAAGTCTCAATACCTAAAAATTTGTGGATGGGTTTATAACACTAACCAAGAGATTATTGAATTGCATGCCATTGATTCAAACAGATGAGAAACCCAATGAATTACAGGAGGTATTCAAGCGACGTTCCCAGCATGCAGCCCCTTTCCTCCATTCCCGAAAGCATGTAGACACCCCAAGGAGGGCCAGTGCTGGCCCTGCCCTAGCAGTGAAGCTTAGACCTGTCGAGAAGCCATCTCCTGTTGATTCCTCAAAAGACAGAAACAAACTGTCCTTTAGAGACAATCTGAGGAGCGTAGCACCCAAGAAAGCTGACATGCCTCAGGATGAGAGTGTCAGGAGATATCCCTCTCTTGCAGAGAGAAACCTGGCCAAAGATGACGGTATTACACCTTTAGTGGTTGAAAGTAAGGGAGTGGATGGTTTCAAACTTCCTGTTGATGAAAAAGTTGAAGCACATGCTGTCACGCCCGTGAGAAGTGTTCCTGTGAATCTTGAGATGCTCCAGGATACAGAGGACAAGGTTCCTGTTGATGAAAGTGTCACATCAGAATCTGTCCACAGTGACGAGAGTAGCGTCACCGATTTGTACCTGAAACTCTCGGGAAGGGAGAGTAAGCTTTCTGTAGAGGAAAGTGTTACTGCTGAAGTACTCTCAGATGGTGATTATGAAGAGCTATCCTTGTCAGGCAGACTAGAACAAGTGCCTTCAGACGGTGTTGCCGATGACTACACTTTGCCCACATCAACCATTTCGGATAGCAATCAGGCGCTTGAAGAACCACGGGAACCATCAAGGAGTACGATGTACTTCCAGCCAGTTCACAGACAAACAAGGAATGGAGGTAGATATAGCGATTCTGAGACTTCAACCCCCTTATCTTCAGAAGACTACCTTCCAGCTCTTGAGATTGAAGCCCTTGAAGAGGAAGTTCAACCAAGGCAACAGAGTCGGCCAGATCATTCCAACCAAAACAATGGGGATTATCTGATTCCCATTACACGGGAGGAGGTCAAACCATTGAGAGAAGAGGTTGTTTTTTCACGTCCCCAACCAAGACGTGTCTTTGAGTATAATAGTGACACTAAAACTGCTTCAGCTTCGGATGATGAAGATGATTCAGAGGGAGAGGGAAGAAGCACTCCTATCAATCAGGACCAAACAGCCAATGTTGAAGTCACGCTGGAGTTTCCTCTAAGGGAGGCAGATGGCCCTGGAAGCAGGGACCTCTTTACATCCTCAGTTTCAATGCCTGTCACTGAGAATGAAGGAACTGACAGAGAGGGCAGGAATGGGCCATACATTGTTGAGCTCATGCTAGAGAAACCACCAATCGAAGACGATAAATTTGACAGAGCATTACCAGTAACGGGCAGGTCTCTCGGACCGGAAGGCTCGGACATGTCCAAAGATATCTCAAGTTCACCTTCATCATCATCATGCAGTTCCTCAGATTCAGAAGCTTCTTATGCACGGCATATCTATAGAGACAATGTAGCTGACAGAGAAAGGAGTGAGCCATATATTGTTGAAGTTATGCTGGAGAAACCACCTATCGAAGACGATAAAGTTGACAGAGCATTGCCAGTAGGCAGCAGTTCCTTTGTACAAGGACCACGTGATGTGCACAAGAAGCCTTCAAGTTCTTCCTCATTTTCTTCTGGTTCCTCATCAGATTCAGAAGAATCAAAGGCATTACGCAAAGATGCAGACCAAGATCAGATTGAGCCATATATTGTGGAAGTGATGCTGGAGAAACCACCTATTCAAGATATTAAATTTGACAGGGCTTTGCCAGTACTAGCCACCGCTTTGAACCAAAGACAACCTGAGAAACTCAAGGAATCGTCAAGCTCGTCATCATCATCATCATCTAGTTCCTCATCGGACTCTGAAGAATCAGATTTGGGAGAATCACATGTAGAGCCCAATGCTAAAAATATTGTAGCAGAGGGAGGAGAGAGCAAGCCATACATTGTGGAAATCATGCTCGAGAAACCTCCTATTCAAGATGAAAAACTTGAAAGAGCTTTGCCAGTACTAGCCACCACTTTGAACCAAAGACAACCTGAGAAACTCAAGGAATCGTCAAGCTCGTCATCATCATCATCATCTAGTTCCTCATCGGACTCTGAAGAATCAGATTTGGGAGAATCACATGTAGAGCCCAATGCTAAAAATATTGTAGCAGAGGGAGGAGAGAGCAAGCCATACATTGTGGAAATCATGCTCGAGAAACCTCCTATTCAAGATGAAAAACTTGAAAGAGCTTTGCCAATATCAACAGACTCCTTTCAACGGGAGCAGTCTGATAAACACTCTTCAAGGTCGTCATCATCATCATCATCATCATCCGATTCAGTAGTCTCAGAGCCAGAGTCTGAGCGGTATTCCTATTCTACCACCATTGCTCTTCTGAGACGGAAATCATCACACCTGAAAGAGGACAAACCAGCAGATGAACGTCTTCCATCACCAAGGAGATCTTCATCATCTGATGAACGTCTTCCATCACCAAGGAGATCTTCATCATCTTCATCATCTCGCTCATCTGACTCGTCTGACTCGGACGTTCCACAGGTTTCACCAACGAGGGCGGATGATCGACACTATACTCCCTTGAATATTCAGTTGAATACAATGCTTTCAGATAGAAATGGGAAGAATGGACAAAGGGCATCTTCCAACTCATCATCAGAATATGAACATGAGGTACCACAAACCAAATTAATGTCCAAGAAATTGAAACCAAAAGTCCAAGATACCAAGGAAGAACAAAACATAAGATCATCTTCTTCCCCATTTTCATCATCTCCCTCATCATCAACATCATCTACCAGTAGCGATGAAGAAACAAGCACGTCCAGGGCGGGGTTGGTGCTGCATCAGCATCAAGACAATTGGGAATCTGAGCCAGAAAGAGCACTTGCAAGTCCTACAGAGGATGTCAGTTTTGAGGTAGTTTTAGGAGTTGCACCAAAAGGCCTTGTTGAAGACGAGGTCAGGGCAGAAAGGGTTGTCACAGTTGAAGCATTACCACAGCAACAGTCGGAACCAACTGTTGATGATGATGAAGTTGCCTTTGATGTCAATGTTGCCGTCAAACCTAGTGAAGAAGAAGAGCAACCTGTGAGGAAAAGCTTCTTTGATGATGATGAAGATACCTTACCAATGCTTGTAGGCTCACCCTTTGGAAAGAAATCCATTATTCGTGCAAAGGCAGATCCTGTGCAGTCCTCACAATTTGATCCCATAAAGCCACAAGTTGAAATTGAAACCATGGCACAACAGAAGGACATAAGTCAAAGTTCTACAGCGGAAAGTGAAGAAGAGGAGGTGGAGGCAGTAACTAAGGATAAGATGCTAACAAAAAGGATCTCATTTACCCAGAAAAGGGCTCTTAACCCGACTGGGTCCCCAATCTTCCAGCAACGTCTCAAAGACATCAAGTGCAAGCAGGGCCAGACCATCACCTTCAATGTAGAGTTCACAGGAATCCCACCATTCTCTGTGAAATGGTACCAAGATGGGTATGAGCTGGAAGACTCTGAAGACTGTGAGATCCTGGTGAGCGATGACTACAGTTCCATGACGGTGCCAAACACCACACCTGACGACAACAGCATGTTTGAGGTCCAGGTCAAGAATGATCTTGGGGTCGCTGCTTCGACAGCATTGTTGACAGTGGAAGGTACAATCTACATGCATTTCTCTACAAAATTAAAACCTTCTCTGAAAACTAGTCGCATTAGCTTCATCTTCTCTTCAAGTATCTCTAGCTCAAACTCTGCCATTTGACCACAATCCTGACCATAATTAGGTTGCAGAATACTCACATCTAGCTTCTATATTGCATCTCATAACCATGTCTTTTTCTTCCTACATTTCAATGATAACCTCACTTTATATTCTTGTCTGTGATACTAGTTACTGTCTGATTTTCATCTGTATCTTGCTATGATATATTTGTTATGTTTCCCTTCTAAATACATCTATATAATGTTTCTTACTAAGCAATTCTGCAACTGCTCCATTCTAATAAAATAAAAAGTACTTTTGTGATACAAATATTGCTTTTAAAATAATGCAGAAATGTTGTAAATCGTATGTTTTGCTTGGTAGATTAGATTCCAATGGATAGAAGGAAAGGTAGTAAACATACAATTTAATAAGTAGCAGATGCTTCAATGTGTTCCTGCTATTGGTGCATTTGATGTGAGATAATTAAAATATTTTTTTATTTTAATGCTCATCTTGAGCAAAATGTAATCAAATATTCCTTCTTTTTTTTTGGGGGGGGGGGCGGCTAAAATATTGAAAGGCTACCCAAAAGTGCATGCATTTTCAACATGATCTTTGGTTAAGTCGGGATAGATTGACTGGAAAAAATTCTGCAGTTTAGACTTTGAACTGTTGATTTGTTTTTCTCATACACATGTATCAGGCATCAATTCTTTTGTTTTTCATACTATTTGTAAAATCATATCATTAAATCTGTATATGTACACCTAATTAAAGTTTCTCAAAGCCATGTTTCCCCTTTATATCATTTTATCTTTTATTTACAGTCATATAAATGATACAACTATTTGTCTCATTATATACTACATACAGCTTGGAGATTAATTTATTATAATCATAATATTTGAATATTTGAATAGTATTTGAATAATAATTACTACATATGATCTTGCTCATATATTGCAGTAAGAATATAGGGGGCTTTTGGAAGGTCAAGTTAATTATAATAATCTTTAAGTTGAAATAAATTTACAGGAATACAAATGTTATTTCTTTGTTAGCCAGAAGCTTTCTTTTCAAAGATACATGTTTCATGTAGAAATTTATTTTCAACATGTTTCTAAATACAAATATTCTCTGCCATGTTTAGGAAGTATGCATAAAGCTGATGGTGCATATTGTAGTTCCATTTATGTAAATTTATTATTTTGATGTTGCTTTTTGACTGTTAGTTTGGGATAAAGCGATTATCACTGTAACTGTTTATAGTTTGTTGATATTGGCTGTGTAATTGTTTTTACATGTATCATGGTTTAATTTTACTACATTTCTCGTTTGTAAATATCTTCATGTATACACAAATGTAAGTGCGGAATTCATAGTGGCCAGAAGTTTTGGATTTTTATGTAAATGATCAAAAGGTGATAAGCCATAATTGTGTTATGTGTCATCAAACATCTTGCAGAAATTTAAACAAAAATTGTTGTCATGCACTGGCAAGAACATGTCATCTTTCATCATCCACAGATGCCATGTTGCATTGTGAACTCATAGCTACATCTTTTGGTTCATAATGGTTTTTCCATCAAGTCTCTACATTTGGTATCAGTAGAAAATTCTTGAAGCAGAAAGTATCATTGCATTATGGTTCATGAAAGAAGCAACTTCACAATGCCAAAGAAAAAAGTATGTTTCATTCATACAATACCTCACCTCTGTTTAATTTTTAGAATATATCTTTCACAAACTATCTTGATTTCACAATGCTGCGCTCCCTTATTTCTATTTCTTTTCTATGACAAATTATGCCACCTTTAAGGTGTTCCAGTTGGACCAATGATTCCTATTAATATCTTTTAACGACAAATTGCAATGTAGTCAATAATATGTTTATTATACAGCTGGATAGAATAGTTCTGAAAAATACACAGAAATATAGTTGATTGATTGCAACATTCGAGGTCTCTTATACTAAACTTTTTAACAAATAAGCTGCTAATAAATGTAGAAAAGTGCAATCAGGTATTAATACTGAGGATGATCATTAACACTTTTAGAGATGAGTAGTCAAAAAAATTCTATTTAATCATTAAGAAATGATCTCACATGAATGACATTTGTATCTTAAACAATTGAATCAATTTTTTGCTCGGAATTGAAAATGAAAAAATTGAATTTTTGACAAAATGCGATGTTCCTAATAATGTTTATACACATACCTGAATACTGTTATTTGGCATTTCTTTCCTTACTGATACTACTCCCAAGTTTTGGTTATCGTAAATAGTATAGTGCCTTGTTTTATGTTATAATTTGAAAGATATCTCAAGGAAGCATCACTTCTTAATGTTAACATTTTTATGCAACCATATTCTCACTTGTAGAATATCAGCAGCCAACGCAGACGATGATGCAGACGATACAACCTTCACAGCAGGCACCAAGTTTCCTCATTGCTCCACCACCCATGACGGTTGGAGCGCCAGGAGAACCGGTCAGACTGTCCTGTCGTGTTGGAGGATTCCCTGTGCCAAAGGTCATCTGGTCAAAGGTCAGTTGGGTTGATATTCAGAGAGGTCTAATCAGTTCAATAAATTATAAAGTGCTAATTTTTGTGTTTGAGAATTGCGGGATATTTTGTTTGTGGTCAAGTTTCCCCAAATTATCTATTTATTATCTTTCATATTGGGTTGTAGCCATTTTGCTTCCAGCAGAGGGTTTGGGAAAGTTTATTTTTATTAAGTGGTAATTTTATCTTGGACACATGTCAGGTTATTGGTTTATAGAACCAAGAGACACAAGGTGATAATCTTACGAGCATGACTTACATGTAGTTATCAGTTCATTTGTTTTATAATGTTACTAGCACAGTTATTTTAATTAAGAATATAAAAAAAAAAGAATTTACCATATTGTAGTGGTGGTGGTGGTTATTTTACCTGACTGCTAAGAAAGCATAAATGCTTGTTAGTAAGCAACCAGACGACCGTAGCTTTAGGTCCTCTCCGATGGACCTGGTAATGAGGATTAATGCCTTACAAAAGGGCACTAGCGCATCGACTAGGTTTCGAACCCGGGTCACCGGATAATGAGACCACTGCTCTATCGACTGAGCTATCGCGCCTACCATATATTGAGATTGTTTTAGCATAAACGATTCGTCATTGATGAAACTCAATATACTTTTAACTATGTAGTACATTTTTTCTTCAACCTTAGGATGGTCGTCTTTTGACCAATGTGCCCAGAATGAAAATCCTGCAGGATGAAGATGTCCACACTCTGCTGATCTTGGAATGTCAGCCAGAGGATGCAGGAAACTACACCATCGAGATCGTCGCCCCTAGCGGCAAGAAGACACACTGCTTCAAGATCCAGATCGAAGGTATGGTAACAGTTCTCACTTTCATTGTGAGTTTCGTGTCTTACTGGTTTCTCAGACAAGATGATATCTTTGATCTGCAGTTTAGAAAACAGTCTAGTGATAGAGAACAGAATCCCTCTAGCATAAATGTGGCCCTGGCGCCTGGTCAGATTTGTGTAAAAAATATGTGGATATAGATAAGCATTTATCTTATGTTTGTTTGGTCTTGATTCCATTCTTAGCCACCACATTCTTTGACACTTATCATAAGGTAACTTTGTTAAGAGTTTTATTAATTGGGCACAATATGGGTATATACTATATAATATAGGCAACCGTTTCTATTTCTGGAAGAAAATCTAGGCTGTATTTAATCCAAACACATTGTTCAGTACTCTCGTTCTTGGGTGATCATTTTCAACTGACTGCACAGAAGGTGGTTTAATAAAGAGTGTCTTGTGTCCTTGTATTGATCAGGTGACAAGCCAGATGACTTTGAGCCTCAGTACGGAGCCCAACCCCATCACCACCCCGAGGTGCAGCCTATCGGACATGCCAAGCTGCCTGAGTTCAGGAGCGTGCTCACCGACTGCATGGTGCCCGATGGAAGCCCTGTGGAACTCGCCTGCGAAGTCGTTGGATCACCACGTGAGTAGTAGAATGGAACAGAGTGATTGTGTTTGTCCTGTGTCTGATTGCACTCCTTATTAGGTGATGGGTGGTACATGTATGTGTGGTGCGAGGAAACATAGTCTTTAAATGCTAAATTACATATTATATTTGATGACTGTAATGCTAGGGCTTTCATGGTTTGTGTTTCTTAAAATGCTGAGCCAGGGTCAAGAAAGTCATTCCAGTTGCTATAGGGCATTCAAAGACGTGTGTCTTTTTAATACAGCTGTTTATCTTGCCTATTGGCCAATTCAGGAAAATTGATAAGCTTCTTTTGTATACCAGGATGTCAGCTGCTCCAAAAGTACCAATACTCGAGATAAATATTGACTTCTGCTCTCTTGACTATTATAATAGTGTAAAATTTTAAAATTCAATGAAATTAATGCTAATAATTTGTATATGTGATGCATTGTCTACAAAACCTTTTTATTTTATTTATTTAAAAAATGCATTACATGCCCTAGTAAAGAGGCTGAAGAGCATTATGAATAATGTAATTTCACTTTTCTTTTTCTCTCTCTCCATTTCAAAGCGCCTGTAATAAACTGGTACCACGATGGAGACATCATCAAACCATCGCGCTACTTCCGCATGAGCTACGATGACTGCATTGCTCGACTCCAGATCAACGAGGTGTTCCAAGAGGATTCTGGGGAATATCTCTGCGAGGCCTTCAACAACGCTGGCCGCATCTCCTGCAGCGGGATCCTGAGCGTACAAGGTGAGTCAGAGTGGGAGTCGGAAGAACTCTAGAGGGGGCACTCTCTCTAATTCTATCACCTTGAATTCAAACACTGCTGTTATATAACACCTTCTTGGATTCAACTTAATCATTCTTTCTTTTTATATTCGTGTAATCTCATCAACTTGTATAACCTCTTTAATATTAATCAACAAGGGACATTCTTTTTTTCTGTAACTATCTTTCAATACAGAGTAGCAATATTTAAAGGATTATTTTACTGATCATCCATGATGTCATATCTGATATATTATAGAATCTAGTGCCTTAACAAGGGACTTTGTTTTTTTCTGTAACTATCTTTCAATACAGAGTAGCAATATTTAAAGGATTATTATATTGATCATCCACGATATCATATATATCTGATATATTATAGAATCTAGTGCCTTAACTTGTAATCATACACTGACCCCATTCCTATACTTGGGTCATTTACATTTAGGCTTCATAGGTTTATAGTTATCATTTCTAACAACTACCAACATCTTTCATTAAAACTCATTTAAAAATATTCAGGAAGCCTCACTATCTTTTGAAATTACCCATAGTTGATCTCCTGTACTGAGCATATATGTAAATGGTGTAAAATGTAATTATTATAATTTATCTCATGGAGTGATGTGTGTAACACGTTTTTTGATGTACATGTAACAAGAGAAATTTAGTACTGAAATATTGTTACAAGAGCAATACATGTTTGCCACTGTTCTAATATTTTATTTGATGATTGGTGTGTCTGTTCTACATGTATATCATCGTGTACTTCAAGAGCTGTCTTCTGAAAGCTGTAAGGTTGTTGATTGATGTGTGTAACTTCTTGAAGAGGAAATAACCAAACGGTTGTAAATATTTTGTTACCAAATTTCTCTTGCTCATTACCACTTGATTGTAACTAACAACATATTCAAAAGCCGTAAAATCATTAAGTAGGGGTGGATAAAATATTTTGCATTTGTGATGGATACCAAAATTCAGATGAGAAGTAGGGTTGTCGAGTGATCCTTTCAAGTACGCCCTAACAATGTTTTGGAATTCCTACTAAAACAAACTGTTTTTGTCTTCTGTTGTTTGCTGACTTTAATAACAAACTAAACCAAATTTTTTAAATCTATCGATAAATCATTATTTTCTTTGGCAGGATAAAGGTCATGATGTCATGCATGTCAGCAAGCAATGCAAAGAAAGCCTTTTGCATTTCAAATAAAATTGATGGACCCCAACACCCTTGAAAATTATGTCAATGAATTGTAATATGAACAGAAATGTACATCATAGAATGTCATGGATGCACAGCAAATCAATCAACCAGAAAATATCTTTAAGATTATGTGCATTTGTAGGTAGATTATAGTGACGTACCATTCGTTATTATTGGCTTGTGGATATGTTGTTTGATTCAAATGTTTATTTACTCGCTGTCAAACCCCGCTTCAATTTTCTTCTAAATTTAAAGTAAGATGTTTTAGCTCTCTTATTAATAGCTTATGGATAGAAAGAATAGAATCACATTTTTCTACTTTAAATGCAGAAAGTATCAAAGTAGTATTGATACATTATATTTTTTAAATATTTGAATGCACGACTAGTATGCATGTTTTTATGAGCACATCAGAGCTAAATTGTTGACGTACGTTGCATAAGCAGCAAGCTATGAAGAAAAGCGGAACGCATTCTAAGAAGGAAATTGAAAATGGGGTTTGACAGAGACTTAGATCAAGAACATTATCGTGTTCATACTGAATGTTCTTATACTGAATATTCTAAGAAACCATTAATTTCTCAAGGAAGCAAGTGAAAACAAACCATAAGACGTAAAAACAGTAACAGAGGCTTCAGATTTTTTTCCTGTCCGTTACGCCATCGGAGTAAATTTAGCTTTCTTAATTGCACCTACACTGTTTGCACTAGATATTTTAAGTATCTTAAGTTAAATGCACCTATAATTTCAATCGTGGTATTGCTACATAGGAAGATAATGTAGGTGATAAAAGAGAATGTCTTGGCTGTGGGAAGGGATTCAACTGGACAAATCTGGAACTGTTTGAAAGTATTCGACAAATGCTCAGTGCATTGCTGCAAAACTTTCCTCCGTGGTGTCACGATTGTGCATATCCTATGCTCATTCCTATTTCAGATTTTGATGTTGTAAAACTTTCCTCAAGGCAACATTCATTCTTAATAAATGTTTTAGACTCTTCTGAGGGATTTATGATTTAATTCATAACTTTTGACAAGAATGTACCAAGCTCTTCCAAATATTTGTACTACACTGCCAGACTGCATAGTACTCTTAACATATTTTGACTGCCAAAAACAAGGAGTATATGAAAAGTTTAATTTTGAATATGTAACATACTCAGTGCCATCGACAAACATAAACCATAATGTATAAATTTGTTCATAACATTTTGATAAGGGATGTTTTACTAAGGTAGTTGCATTCATGCACTGTTTGATTTTGAATTTTCGTCTAGAAGTGGTTTAGAGAAAAAAATATGCATTTCTTTTTCTTTTCTTTCTATGAAAGTGGACTCATTTAGAACAATTTTTTCTGAAAAGAAAAAGTGGTATCACCGCTTGTGCCTTATGTTATTTTGCAGTTCAGATAATACAAAAAAAAATATAAAAATACAAAAATAAATAAAACATATTGTTAAAAAAAAATCTATAAAAACAATGAATTTGATAAAAAATTTGAATGTATGTCATTATCACAATTTCATTATTTTTTATCACAGTCGTTAATGGTAGGCAATATGGAGATTTTAAAAAGTGCATTGGATATATACCTTGCCAGAATAAGAATTTATGTATCTGTAGATGTGTGCAATAGATAGGCTAGATAGTTTTGTGAAAAGTCCATGTAGTGATACTTGCATGCTCACCTTTAAATTGTCAAATTGATTTTGGCTTAATTTGGTGCAATTTTATTGGAAGAGAATTTGAATTTAGAAAATTGTGCAGATATTGGTGAATCATGAAGTAGAAAGTTTGCTCTTTTGATGGAAGTTGAAAAAACTTCACGGAGGAAATTAGAAGGCTCCAGATGAAAGATGACGCAAGCACGTGGTATTTGAGTGAATTCAGTTTATTTACAACTATAAACTTATATGTAATTTAAGAACTTGTATTCATTTCCTTATATCTATGTATAAATTGTCATTTATTTAATTCATGTTTTTTACATTAATGTGATTCGATCATGTGTTGATCAATTTTGTCTATGAAAGCTATATAGCTGCCTCTGTTGATAAACCTTTTTTTTCTTAAAAACTGCACCTATGTCTTCCTCTTTTAAAGAGCAAAATCAGTGCTTGAAAATACAGTACTTGTGTCAATTATATTGACCAGACCTTTACTACATGCAGTGATTACCTTAAGAAAAAAGATAGTGGGTTACGTGTAAGTGTAGTTTAATACTGAGTATAACCTTGTTATTGTGTGTTTAGGTAGTGCAATTTTGGCAATAGTGATACAAGTTAAAAGGTTTATTTTACTGTTTTCTTTCTTTATACTTTTTAAAATCAAATTGGACAAAAGGGAATGTAATTGGTACATTTGATCTTGCAATGCCTAATTGGCCATGCCTTTCATTTTGGACGTTCAGAACCAAACAAGTTATCAATCTTGATTTTGTTTTTCTTCCAAAATTTTATTTAAAAATATTTGTGGAGGATTAGATTGCGTCTATTATTTATTCAGTATAGATGGTATGAATTTTTGTTCTGTATTAGCTTCTTTATGTCCCTTTTATTAAAGAATATTGATTTATGCATTAAAGGCTACAGTAGCATGATGTGTGAAAGAGCTATACATTCCGCTTCCAGGCAATTTTGTTTTCCACTCTGTGCATTTGGAGATGCTGTGTGCGATTTGTACAGCACCATCAGTATCAGATACACATCCAATTCGAGCCCAGGTCATGAATATTAGGAAGGCTATTTGTTCCTTTCCTTTTCAGAAGTGCTGTGTTAAAACATATTCAGTTAATGGTGGTTTTCATATTATTTACTCACAACCATGGTAAACTAACTCACCATTTTTAGAAACTAACCTGGTTTTGGCAAAGAGGATCATGCTGTAGCACATGTTCTCACTGCAATGACTTTGGATCATAGCTGGACTTTCATTGAGGATAATGTGAGTCCAACATAACTTGAACTCTGGCAGAAACAACATCTCATTATTAGACTAGAGCATTTCTGCCAGATTTCAATTTATGTCATGCTAAAATTATTCACCAAACCAGACTGAAATTCAATTTAGATTTCAACCAGTTTTGACCTCTCTTTGGTACTCTGCCGGAGGTAAGAGTAGTTGGTAAACTTTTGGGCCATATGGATGTTCGTTTGATATTATTGGATGGCTAGTTTTGTGTGAATGATCAGCTTAGGGGGAAACGCAGGCTGTTTTTTTGCCACCTATATTTATCCTTTCGCTGCTCTCACTTTCGCATTCAATTTCTTCATCAATTCTATATATCTATATATATATATATCCCACCACCTATATATATCCCATAAGAAAAACCATTGCCTATTGATATATCATACGGCTCCCATCCTCCCGCTTTCAGCACCCTCAAATTGCTACCCCAAATTCTTTTTTTATTCCTTCATATTTAGACTCATAATTTGGTTTCATTAGTATCATTAGGAGTATGAAACGCTCCAATGATTAGTTCACTAGAAACTCACGTTTAACCAAATTTGCCCTGAAGAGGCCGAAGATAATTATGCATAATTGCACCTGCACCCTAAAAACAGGCTGATGCTTTGCACACAAAATTAACCATGCACATCTCAGTATATATCTGTTATCATTTATATTCTTTCCTAAATTCAGTTTGCAGCCTACACATTGCAAACGACTTTGGAAAATTATTCAGTGTTCTAATTCTAGAACTGAATGAAAAACCGTATACTCTTTTTGGTTGGTTTGGAAACGAAATTCTGATGTGCTATTAAAAAAATTCTTCTCTCTTTTTTTTATCTCCTTCTCACTTTGGCCTCCTTTTCCAGTTGAAGAAATTGAGTCTGCAGCGGAGTTTGCTGTTCCCCCTAAGTTTTTAAAGAAGATAGTGAATCTTGAAGTGGCTGAGGGTAGCCCTGCCCGCTTTGAATGCAAAGTGGTCGGGAGTCCACGGCCTGAGGTCCAGTGGTTTCACGAGGGCAAGGAGATTCAGAGCATGCCCCACAAGCGGGTCTCGACCGGTCCGGATGGGACCAGCACGCTCTACATCCCTCAGGTCTTTGCGGACGACTCGGGTCGTATTTCGGTAACGGCCTCTACCCCGGCAGGACAGGTCACTTGCAGTTCTCAGCTGCTTGTTGAAGGTACGATGATAGTGCTGTTGATGATGTGGATGATGATGGTAAAGATATCAATGTTGATAATGATGCTGGTTATGATGATGATAATGATGATGATTATGAAGATGATGATGATATTGATAATGATGATGATGATGATAACGATGATGATGATGATGAAAAACATGTTTATTGTGTTAATGAGAAAGAGGCTAATACTTGTGATTCAAAAGATTAATGATAGCAATGAGAGTAACCATGATGTCAAAGATGACAATCATTGTCATGAGAGTGTTTACATGTATCCAATGAGATGAGGATAAATCTTGTTATGGTTGTGCATGTGATCTTTGATCTTGACTCAGAAGATGATGATGATGATGGCCCTGATTGTAATGTTTGGATGATGATGAACTGATTATAGTGATGTTATTAACATCCATGGTGATAATGCTGATGATTTAGTATTTCTTTTTCTATTGATGAAAATGCAAATACTTTTTTTTTAAGGAATGAGAGAGAGAAAAAGAAAGAGAGGAACAGAAGGAGAGAGAGAGAGAGCACAAAAAAGAGATAAACTGATAATACATATATATGAACAAAAAATCTACTCAATACAATCAACAAGAACAGATTTAAGATACATTGAAGCAGGATACTTCAAAACAAATGAAAAACCCTGTGAAAGATCTCATAACTGTTTAGGAGATCATTTCTCAAAAAACCCTAAAGTGGAATTTAGAAAAATACTCATCCACATCATACTCAATACACAGCATACTTAATACACAGCAAAAATGAAGATTCCATTAAACACATTTCCCAATATGATTTGAGAGGTTCACCGGAGATTGTGATCATGTAGGGTCCTCAGGAAGAACAGCATTTAAGCTAATGTGTCGTCCCTGGTTAAACAAAATTATTATTAATTAGTATAATACTGGTACAGCAACAGACACATATTCAGAAGGAATATTCCAAATTCTGATAGTCTTCTTGTTGCTTTTCATTTTAACCTTTCCCTTTCTGAAACACTTTTACCTTTACATATAGCCTCCAGAACTCCTTACACATAAATTAAAAATGCATATGTGAATGGGTCGTGGAGTTCATCATCTCTACCTCTTTCGCTTCTAATCACAGATTCAGAAGAATCAGAGAAACCACTGGACTACAAAGTTTCTCAGCTGATTCCAGCTTGGGGTGTCATGTGTAGTTTGGTTTTGTTTTTGGCTTGGTTTGTTTCCTTCTTTGCCCTCACAATTTTCAAACAATGAAACCAATTTAGGAATTTGGTATTGGATTGAACTATAGAATAGCCTGGGTGACCCCTTTTTTCACCATAGAGAGTACCACTAGATTTGTAAACTAGCTTTGCTTTGGATTTAATTGTATTTTCTTTAGAGAGTGAGACTAAACTGAACTCACATTATTTTGAAGTGTTGAAAATTTGATTGCTAAACTTTTGGAAAATATAACCTTGAAATATGAATGATTTACACTTCATTCCAAGTACTAGATTTTATCTTTATCTTACAATGGAAATGAATCCATAGATCTTCTTGGAGGGAAATGCTTAAGTTGTCCTATATCAATGGATTCCAATAGGGGTTCAAGATTCATGGACGTGTATGAATGGTAATCTTGATTTGCTAGCTCCATGCTATATTTCGTTAAAAGCAAAGAGTAATACTAAGATTATGGCAAAGAATTTAAAATCTATTATGGGCAATTTTCACTGGAGCATTTGTTGTTCAGATACATTTAAAGCTGTTAAATTCCCATCTATATTTTTGAAAAAGATTTTTCATTAAGATACTTTATTTTTTATAAGGGAATCTGAAGGAAAGAACATGATATATTGAAACCAAGCTTCACATGATAAGATATGTACTTAATAATGAGGCAATCCAAGAAAAACAGTCAAGATGGCCTTTATAGACAGGTGATCTTTTAATACTAGTTCAGGATAGTGTTCTTGATGTACAGGTTTAGTGGATAACTCTCCGGACAGTGAACCACAAGGTACAGGTACAAGACATGAATCTACACTTGCCACCCTCGACCCAGGTGAGGTAAACAGCTACTTGCAGGAATTAATTCCATATGATGCTAAAGCGCCCTAATGGCATTGGCAGCCACGGAACAGCCGGGGTAATAATTGTGGAGCGCCAGGAGTGTCAAGTCTGACAGACAGACATGAGCACTATACACAAACCCACTATTATTATTATTATCATTATGATTTATTAGTTCATAAAATTCACCATAGTTTAATTGCAAATTACATAATTTTTCCTGAAGGCGCTGTTGTTATTGTTGTAAACCTTCACTCATCAACCTGTTGCAAAAATTGAAAAATTACAAGAATAATGACAAGTTATTCTTTTCCCACGAAGACTATGATCAAGAGCATAATTTTGGCATTCAAACTGCCTGTGGTTTTATAAGGGGTTATAGAGTAACAGAATACCCTGGGCATCATTTCACAAAACCGTTATAAATTTCACCGATATCCCATTGAAGCGAGTGTTAAATTTAATACCCATATTTCAATGGGATGTCGGTTATGATTTAAAGGGATTGGGTATCTTTGCCTCAGATTCTAAACAAAATCCTCGATTTAGCTCATGCTGCAATCATAATTATAAACTTTTAGGTCAGTCAGGTATCCCATGACTTTTACAAGCAGATCGCATGTTTGATTATCAAGATATTTATGAATCAAATTCAAAATTTCAGAAACCATTTCCCAACGATTTTTATAACACTACAGTCAAGTGGGGAAAATGAATATGGTAAAACTGGTCACTGAAAGATTTATACTTTTTGAACCACTTGATGATCATTTTGAAGCGCAGAAATTATTTTAGGGCTTCAATATTACACCATATCACAGACACTAATAACACGTGAGGCCATGCATCTCAGATTTGTAAAACTGGAAACATTATTGAGCAATGCCTTTAATGAAAAAACGAGGATGAAGTGATTTATATGGACCTGGAAATGAAAGAGTAAAAATTTTAAATAGTATTTCGAGCTGAGCTGAAGTGTGATAAATGGAAAGAAAAACTGAGGAAGAGAAAAAGAAAAATATAATAGAAACGGGAGAAATCAGCTCAATCCGAAGAAGTAGAAAAAAGATTCTTGTTAAACAAAATACTGTTTAAAACACTTGATCACTCAAACTTTACAGTTTTTCAAGAAAACAATTTCTGCTTTATACATTCATAAAGCATTGAAAGAAATCCTTGACAAAAATTGTCCAATACATGTTAACAATACATGTCAATGTACATGTTTGTCTTTGTATAAAGTGTGTTTAATACTGCTGAAAGAACAAAAAGAATCATACAAATATCACTTTACACAATTTTCATTTTCATAGAATAAAAAAAAAGCAATAAGAGGAATCCCTTACATTTTCTGATACACGTTAATGTATGTCATTGTATGTTTAACTGTGGTGAAAGAACTAAAAGATTTTTTTTTGCCAAAAATGATACAGTTAAAAACATACAATCACTGAAATATTGTTTTTATTAAAACAAAAATCCTGCTTCATATACAGCAATTGAAAAGAATCATTGAAAAATTAATCTTCACATACATGTAACGGTACCTGTCCTTGTATGTCTAATTGTTGTGAAAGTAACATGAGATCTTCAGAAATATAAGTGCATGTTTAATTATATGAAAAGGAAAAAAGTATTAAAGATTTGTTTAATAGTGTCTACATGTGAATGTCATCTAATTAAGGGCACTTTATCTTTATTTCACTTTTAACAGCATGAACTTGCACTTTTTTTATCATCTTGAAAATTTAAAATACATGCAGAAATTAAGAGGAGCATATTCATTATAGATCTGTATCTTTCTGTACACTTGAATGATATTGTAATTCACTTGTAATGTGTTGTTCTGATTGAATTAAGTACATGTTTATTTTTAGCATGTCTTTGTTGCTCTTTAATCATTAGTCAAAGAAGGTTCAATTCATCCCAATTTACACTTATTGGCTTAAACAATGCATGATGATTTTCAGAAAATCAATAGTGAATTGTATTACTTTTGAACTCACAGAAAACTAAAATACATGTAATTTAAACAAATAATGTTATTAAAGGCTAAAGAAGATCATGTTTATATGTTTGTGAACATAATAGAAGAAAGGAATACATTTGAGATCTCTGAATGATTAGCATATAGACTTATGAATTTACCAAGAATAAAAGTTAAAACTAGCAATATGATAAATATCTAGTGTTATAAGAGAATCTCAAAGGGTTCTCCTCTTCCTGTCTGATAAACAAGTTACCAGGTTAATAGGGCTTAGATTTACGTAACAAATACATAAAGTTATAAAAATTACACAATGAGCATGATCCATAAATGAATATTAATTACCTGTAAATGTAATTCAAATACATAAAGTTAAAAAATAATTAATTTACACAATGAGCATGATCCATAAATGAATATTAATTAGATGTAATTCTACAGGTTAGACTTAGAATTATAATGTTATTAATAATTCTTTTAAAAAAATTATATACTGCATGTGTAGGACAAAATAAATAAATAATGAAAACAGGGATACTTATATAGTGCTTCTGGCTAAGATAAAAGACAGTTTAAAAAAACAAGTTAAAAAAAAAAGTATATAGGATTCCAATAAATAAATTGAATAAAAAAATTCATAAACACTGTAGATAGTGTTAGCTCTTTGCATGGACATGATTACAAGCATGCAATACCTAGAATGCACTACCCGTGTGTGTGTGCATGAGCCCGCCGTTGCATCAACTGTTCATCACCCCCTCACATCTGTCGTGGACTTAACATCACCCAGCGTGCCGTATTCCTACTAGCATGTGTAAGTACCAAGTTTTTATCCTATCGTAATGTTAGCTAATCCGACATATTTGTGGTTCTGAATAGGAGAAGCATGTATTATCAATGGAATGACAGTTTCTTTTATGGATTAGCCTGAGGTTTGCTTATTGTAAGTAATCATACTTATTCAATCCATTTGGATTAACCCTTTATTAGTGTATTGAATTTTTTGGGGAAGAAAGTCTGGACAAATTTCAAAATTTAATTATCTTTTTTTTTCTTATACAACTTTGCAAAAGATCCCAATAGACCTTTTTTCTGAATTAATTAAAATCTTCCTTTTTAGTCTACTCATTCCTATCATAGAATATATATGTACATTAGAGAGCAGATTCTTCATGGATTTTTTTGAAAAATACCTTTTTACCCCCCAAAAAGAAGAATCCAACAACATTAAACATCTTGATAATGAAGAAGTGACACTTATGACAGTTTATTTCTTCTTTTTGATCACCATTTACAGTTTTGGTGGTATTACAGATATGTCATTCCATTGATAATAGATAGAAGTTTTGTCACTTTATCTTTGAATGTACATGTTTGTGTTTTATTTTCTTAAAACTATCCAGGCTTCTGTTTTCTATCAAAATATGTTATGGTATAAAATAACAATTACTCAAATTCATATTTGAAGATCATTGTTTTATCTAACTGCTAAGAAAGCATGTATATGCTTTTCAGTAAACAACCAGGGGACCTATGGCTTTAAGTACTCTCCTCTATTTGATTGCTTAATGTTTGCAAGTCTTCCCCAGACAGAACTAAATCTATATCAACAAAAAATGAAGAAAAAAGGAGCATAATGCTAAATACTGATTTTTCACAATTCATCTCTACAATATTACCCCACTTACTGTTCTTGGAATATTACATGTTCAGTTAAATTCACTTTAAGACCAGCCTGGATAGGGTTAAATGTCAAAACTAATCTAAATGTTCATGAAGTAGCAGTAGGCTAATGTTTCTTGAATTTGTAATTTTCAGAGATAATCACAAATAATGAATTCAGTGAAGCTAGTCACTGTGTAGGATCCTCAAATGCATTACACATTAGATCTAAGGGAAATGTGTGATCTAGCACACTACTAGCACGTCAGGTAAACATGAACAAAATTTGATGATTTTTGAGGTGTGAAACCCATGTGCGATATTATTTGATGAACAAAATGTTTTACATAAATGAGAGTAAAAGCACCATTTAACATTTTGAAAATACACTTCTTACAGTCAGTTGAAAAGTGATGGAAATGAAGGTTTTGTGGATGGTGATGATGGTATTGAAGTTATTTTGCACCTTTAGTTTTGGTGATATTTTTACAACGCAATGATAATGATTTGTTATACTCTTTTTTTCAAACTGGACATTCAGTGTTGCATATAAAATGTATATATCACAACCACTTTCAAGATTATGCCAAGTGTGAAATTGTACCTATCAGCTAATTGAATAGAACAATTTTTATGTTTTGTTCTACAAAAAGTTAGATTTATATATTTTGTGATCAATAATGAAAACTTGAGTGATACATGAGTGTTACAGTAGAAATAGATTTACATAAAGAGCTCCAATTTACATAAAAGTAAATAAGTATATGTAATTTGAAGTCACTATCACAAAGATGAACAGCATTTTGAAAATTCTAATTCATTCTCATTGTTCCATCCTTATTTTATGTGAACCATGTTTTATGACATAACAGTTGATATAGATGCTCCAGCTGGAAACCTTCTTAGCTTCAGTGAGTCCTACGGGGCTGATGTCAGTGCCAGTGTTGATCCAGGTATGGACTCTGATACCGATATTGATCTGGATGACATCCTACCCTACGATGAGATGCTGGTTCTTCCAAGGAAGAAGAAGCGCGCCAGGAAGGAGAGTGAAGATGAAGAGGGGCATCCATTTGCCCAGCATACAGATGACAGCCAAGAGAAAGCAGCAGATAAGGTACCTACCTTGACCAAAACGCAAGCCAAGACCAAACTGTCGTCCAAGATTGAAGCTTTGCAGAGGACCGAAGGACGTGTCCAAAAGGACTTGTCACCTACCCGCCCCATGCGAAAGGAACCCTCACCAACAAGACGGCCAATGCAGAAGGATTTCTCTCCTACCAGGCGGCCTGCACCAATTGATGCTAGTGTACAACCTCAACCAATGCTGCATGTAGATCATCCAGAGGTTGCAGACCTCGGAACACCTCCTGTTGTGTACATGCCACCCCACACCCAGGGACAGGTGGCACCACCAAAGCAGCATGTGACACCTTCGACCATGGCATCTAAACCATCAATGGTGCCTACACCATCAATGACACCTACACCATACATGGGTCCTAAACCATACACTGCTCCTTCTGCACCTGGCAAACCTGGAGGACCAGCACCAGGTACTCCATCCAGACCAGTTGGAGCACCCAAACCATCGCCGGGAGCACCACCATCAAAACCAGTGTCATCAGACATCAAACCACAGGTATCCCAGTCAACTAAGGCGGTACCTGTTCACACCAAACAGTTTACAATTATGCCACCTCCACTCGAGGATCGGAAACCACCAAACTTCCTCAAGTTCATCAACCACTGCAGGGTAAGGCCTGGAGAGGAAGGTTGCTTCGAAGCACAAGTTTCCGGTAAACCTATGCCGTCCATTAAATGGTTCAGGAATGGACAAGAATTGATACCTTCGATCATTTGCAAGGTGGACAATAAACCTGATGGGACTACTACGCTGACGTTTCCAAAGGTGCTAGCAGACTACTCAAGTAAAATCACATGTAAGATTGAGAATGCAGCTGGACTGGCTTCCTGCACTGCAAAACTGATTGTTGAAGGTATGTGACCCCATAATTCCACCAACCTCATCTAAAACTGTTCTTCACTTAATTAGTTGTCATAATCATTTGAAAAAAAGTTCATTGTGAGTATCCATCTATCGTATGATAATAGGTAAATTAAATCCTTCTCACTTCTTGTTTTTGCCTAGAATTTATTGATTATTGTTTTTCATGAGCATTATTCATTCACCTTGTGTTTCAAAAATACAATTTTTGTTCATATATTTAAAAAAAATAATAATAGAAATATTGAAATGAACAAATGTGGGAAGTCATAGTGACTAATGAAAGAAATGAAATGTTACATCTGAAGGCTTGCTGTATATGACTAATGGAATTCTATTATTCAACACATGAGACACTGCTCTTTAACTTCTAGATGAGGAGCAGCGCATAGTCCGTGAGACCAAGCAGGCTCGCTTCATCCACTCCACTCTCTCTGTGGCTCCTGGAGAGGACATCTACTACTCAGACCTTGACATCCAGACGATACCACCTCCAACCTTCAGGATGGGAGCTGCTCCAGCTCCTGCTGCAACCAAGCCTAAGCCTAAGCCTGCGGAAGTTCAACCTCAACTCCGTCCAAAGCCCGCTCAGCCTCCGTCCTTCCAGTCATTTGTGAGCAGTCAGGAGGTCAATGAAGGGGGTACTGCCCGTTTTGAGTGCCATGTCAGCGGCAATCCCAGACCAACAGTCAGATGGTTCAAGGTATGATCATGCAAACAGAACTTCTAAATGAATCTTTACCATCTAGTACATGTATGTGATTTACATGTACATATTTATCTGATAAAAATTAGTAACAGGAAAATAAATCATGATGAGTTTCTCAGGAAGCATGCAGAGGCCCGTCCATATAAAAATATAGGTCTAGATAGATCACGATGATTGGTTTCAAGACAATCTGTTCTCAAATTAGTAATCCAAAATACATAAAGCCTGATATTATACAATCTAATGTAGATGTTGCAAAGCTGAAGTCAACATGAGTATTGATGGTGTACCTCCTTCAAAAATGGCAAACCACTTCCAGCTTACAAATAGCCAAACTTGTATAGAAATTCTGATATTATACAATCTTTTGCTGATGTTGCAAAGCTGAAGTCAACATGAGTATTGAGAGTATACTTCCTTCAAAAATGGCAAACCACTTCCAGCTTACAAATAGCCAAACTTGTATAGAAAGTTCCATTCCTACACATGTACATATATTCTGTAGGCCTACTTGTAGAAAATATTTGTGTATTTATAAGAGACAAACATGCAGCATAGAATTAGCATTTCAGTATATCCAAGACAAATTACAAATTTTTCGTGTTGAAATTGTATGTTGTTTATACCTGTTTGTCATAGCTTTCAAGTAGGAGATTCATTATTTTGTAGGAAATATTTTGAAACATTCAATGCACAATAGCACATGAAATTTCATTCTGCTCTAATGAAAACATCATCTTTGCATCCAAATGGTAATAACAGAGTGGTAGGGAGCTGAGGCAGGATAGTCGCATCACCATCAGGATCACAGAAGATGGCATCTGTGTCATGGAGATTTCATCCCTCTATCCAGAGGACTCTGGAGAGTATGTTGTCAAGGCAACCAACCAGGCAGGAGAGGCGACTTCCATTGCCCACCTAACTGTTAGCCGTGAGTCCATTTATCTTACATACATATGTGCATGAGGAATTTTGTTTTGTTTTGAATTAAATTTACTTCACCAATTGATAATGTAGGTAATACTTGTAATAATGAGATTAGAATGAAATCTTAAATTCATGCACATTCCTCCAATAAATTTGGCATCTCTAGATTATTATGCAAATTTATGATCTGTCCATTTAACTTATTACTGGTAGCCAAACAGTAACAAAGTCTACAATCTGTATATGAATCTATTTTTGATATTTTATATTAGTCTATAATGGTGAATTCACAGATGAAATCTTCTGTCTGGGGGATTCCATGCAATGTGTTTGGTAAAACATTACATGCACTTCATAGAAAAATGAAAATCTCTGTAAATGACCCTTAAAGGCCCACTGTACTACTTGTAGCTACTTGCTCCCTCTATATAGAAAACAATGCCTAATTGGTGACCATTGGTCCCCCATGATCCTCTTTTCTTATGTTTATTGAGAGCCGAGTTGATGAGATAGCCACCTGTTAGTGACCTTCCTGTGTGCTCTAATCCCTCCTAGCCAAACTAGTACAGACAGCCTTTAATAATGGTTATTTCAAGTGTAACTACCCATCATTCAATCTCACAAGATTTGTCATACTAATGATAGATGATACTAAGATATTAATGTCAGACAAGAAACATTTGCACAGCATTACTTATTTGAGAGGAAGAGTAGGAGGGGTCAAACACACTGGCCTGCACAATATGCACCTATAATCCTATAATTTTCTTCTGATTATCCAAACGCAGCATCCTCTTACCGATACCAGAGGGATGTGACCACCTCCCAGAGAGATGTGACCACCTCCCAGAGAGATGTGACCAATTCCCAGCAGGACCTGCAAATCCACATCAACGTTGACCATGATGGGGTGACCAGCTCACAGCCTGGTGGTGTCCATGTGACAGCTCCGGGTGTTTACGTCACCAGGAATGGTCAGATGACCACTCAGGGTTTGGAGTACAGTCAAGGTTAGGTTCATTCTTGTGTCCTAAGATATATTCGAGATAAAATTTAAAAAAAGGAAGATTAGTTATTTAGCATTATGCTGAAGTCTGTTTATTGGAAGGGATGGAAACCAGGAGGCTATTTTCCTTCAATATTTTTATGTTTCCATTTTGATTTTCTTGGGTTTCCTGCAGAATACCCCACCATGCATCTGTACCATGTATGAGGGTAAGGATTAGTGTTATAATTAGGATAATAGTTACAGTCAGGGTCAGGGTTAGGGTTTGAATTAAAATTAGTGTTAGGAGTGGATGGGAATCTTACACAGTTATCTCCTATTTTTATGATTATAAATCATATTTTTCCTCAGGTACGCCTACAAGTTCCACAACAAGGACAGTAGAGGTTCACGAGGGACCCTCAGATGTTGAGCGAACCACTGAGGAATTATCCTCTACTACAAGAAGAACTACTACCAAGAAAACAACCACAAAGACTGTGACAGAGACATTGACAGAAGAAAGTGACATGGAGATCCCAGGAATGACCTTCACCAGCCAGCAGTATGCGCTTCCTCCACCAGGAACACCAGGATCAGGACCTGGAACACCAGGACAACCTGGTACCCCTGGAACCCCAATGCAAATATATGGACAGACCATTCCAGGGCAGTTGCCTACCAACATCAACATCACACTGAACATTTCAGGTTTTCAGGAGGCCCTACCAGAACCTCCGCAGTTTAGGAGGTTGGTCAACGACGTGACTGTTTCCGAAAGCCAGACTGTCCAGCTGGACTGCATCATCACAGGCTCTCCGTTTCCCCAGATAACATGGCTCAGAGATGACCAGATTATCCAGGATTCACCAGACTTTCAGTATATCATCAATGGCAACAGGGTATCTCTTCTCATCAATGTGACACTTCCAGAGGATACTGGAGACTACACTTGCAGAGCTACCAATCCTTATGGTACAGCTGTCTGTACCTGCAGGTTGACTGTTCGACGTAAGTTGATAAAAATTACGTTTTATGCATCAACCTCTCTATCAGTAATTTGAAATGATGTAAATATCTTATTGGGATGAACAGGGACAAAAAATGAAGGAAAAAAGGTGTTTTTACATATCTGTACCCCAAAATATTATAGAGAAATGGGAAAAGGATCAAAGTAATATCACTTTTCAATTTTGTGTAACATCAATGACACCTCTTTGCATTTTCCTCACTCGTATGTCACATCAGCTTATCTGACTTACAAGGATTAAAAAAAAGAAGTTATGAACATGATAGTGTGGAAATATATGGATGTGTGGAATAACCTATTCAGCTGCAATTTATTTGTTGACAAATTGCCCTAATCTACTGTAAATAAACCAAGATTTTTTTCCTTACTTTACAGCTGGTAAGATGAGGACAGTGAGTGGAGATGAAGCCTTCTCTGAATCAGAGGTGATCCGAAGAGTCAGGAAGACTACCACCACAACAACTACCAGGGTAGCAGAGAGTGATATTGATGCCCCTTCAGAGTATTCTGAGCGTACCTACCGAGTTGTCAGGAACAAGCCACCCAAGTTCCTAAATGAACTGCTAGACATCGAGGTACTGGAAAACAGTACTGCCAAGTTTGATTCCAGAGTTACTGGACGCCCTGCGCCTCAGATAAGATGGTTTAGTGATGGTATTGAGATCCATCCAGGAGGACGTTACACATTGCATTACGATGACCAAGGACACTGCTCAATGACAATCATTAACGTGACTCGTGATGATTCTGCTGAGATTGAATGCAGAGCTGTGAATGCAGCTGGAGAAGAGGCATCGAGCTTTGCTGATCTCATTGTAAAACCCATTCCACAGGCAGGGAAGAGGCCCAGAAGAAGAAGAGAACATCAGACATTGCTCATTCATGGTCAGAAGCCAAAGATCATTTCTGAATTAAAGTCAACACAAGTTACTGAAGGACACACTGCAAAGTTTGTTGTGAAGGTGTCAGGAACGCCTCGTCCTTCTGTGACTTGGTACAAGAACGGACGCTCCATTCTTTCTAATGACAGAGTTGTGATTACTTATGAAGAGGATGGAACTTGTACATTAATCATTAAGAATGTTTGTTCTGATGATGATGCAGAATATATGTGCAAGGCTGTTAATGAACTTGGAAAGACTATTACCTATGCTGACCTGATAGTTGAAACCACCTCTAGAGAGCGAATCACCACCATTCAAGAAGAGCCTGAAGACGAAACATGGACTGAGCGTGTTGAGAAAGTTGTTGAAAGTGACACTGAAAGTGTTCGCACTATTACAACTACCACAACTACAAAGAAAGTGACAACTGTTTTGAGGGAGGGACAAGAGCCTACGAGTGGTTCAGAAAGTGTGAATGTTGAGGTCCGACCAAGAGAAAGATCCCAGATTCCACCAAGAACCACACATCAAACAATATTTGAGACTGATATTGGTCAGAGGACACCTGATGATTACAATGTGGAAGATTATGAGGTGATCAGAGAATATGGTCCTAGACCAAGGATGACCCAAGAAGTCAATATTCCCATGAGTCCAGGACAGCAAGAAGTTATCATTCCCATTGGCACACCATCTGAAAGGTCAACACAAGAGTTCACTCTTACTCGTCAGATTCATCCTACTGTTACTGAGAGAGAAGTGGTACCTGACCAGAGACGGCCAGCAGAGACTCCTCTCAAAATACCAGTTATGCCTCCAAGACGGCCAGTAGATGAACAGTTGCAGCCTGACAGGAAACAACCTGCAGATTATCATCCACAGTTGGATAGGTTCCAGCCGCCAAGAGAGGTTGAAGAAGATTACTTTGTTGAAGACTTGCATCCTCAACCTTTAACAGATGTCAAACTCCCTTCCAGAAAGAAAAAACACCAGTTTATGAGCAAGTTTCAAGGCAAATTAAGAAACCTGACTATACCATGAAGCCATTAAGCGACCTTCCTGTTCCAGAGCAAGTGCCTTATGTACATGAACCACAGTTGAAGCCAGCTGGCAGGAAACCTGTGGAAACTCCTGTGTCCTTTGAGGGTCTGAAGAAAATCCCCAAGAGAGAGAGCCCTCCTATATTATATGAGGCACCATTATTTCCAGAGGAAGTTGTTCAAGAACAAAGGTCACTGGTCGAACCATTAGAGAGAATGCCCCGACCACAACCACCAGCTCAGGTTAAAGAATCGCCAATTCCATCTAGAGAGGTACAGCCTGAAGTTTACATACCTTTTGATCAGTTGGAAAAAACTAAAATCAAGGAGGATCAAATAACTCCACAGCAGCTCAGACCATCACCACAAGCAAGTTTTGAATCATTTTCGAAATTGCCCAAACCCCAAATTCCAGAATATCCAGAGTTTGAAGAAGAGGTACCGTTTGATGCTCAACCAGAGCAGCAATATCCAGTATCATTTCCTGAGAGAAAACCCAAACCAGAAGTTGCTGTTAAACCTCGTGCTAAGCAACCAACACATCCAGGAAGACCACAGGTGATGGAGGAATTACAAGATACTGAGGCTACTGTAGGAGAAGAAACTCAATTGCATACAATCATCATAGGTCTACCAAGACCAAGGATCCAGTGGCTTAGAAATGGACGTCCCATTGATGGAGACCGCTTTGAGACAATCGTCCAAGAAGATGGAACATGCATACTTGTGATAAAGATTGTACTGGAGGAAGATCAAACAGTCTATGAATGTAGAGCCACTAATCCATTGGGGACAGTGTCTTCTTTTGGAAATTTGACAGTGACTACACAGGAGACCACCACAAGAAGAACAGTAACAGAAACTGTCACAACAGAGATTTATACTACTGACAGTGAACAAGAGCAGTACTATCCTCATAGAACACAAATAGAAATTGGTCCTGGTCATGACAGGCGAACCTTCATCCCACCAAGGCAGCCACGACCTGTCAGTTCATCTATAGAGATATCTCCAGAGGATAGAACAGAGACAATGACCACAACTACTGTTACAGAAACCATCACAAGATATGACGATGACACTTTGTCTGATATCACAACCCAGAGGTCAGAATATGACATGTATCCTGAATACGAACGGCCCTCACAAGAAATTGAGTTGATAATAGATGGTGTCCGACCCCACCCTCAAAGACAAACTGCAACTGTTCAAGGAAGACCAAGGGGACCAGAGATCCGTGAGAGGACCACAATTGACATTGATAGGCGAGCTCCTCTTGCACCTGTTGAGTTCATAATCGACACAAGGGAAGATCAGCCACAAGAAGAGTATGAGACTATTACAAGAAGGAAGAAGACAACTGTTGTCACAAGAAGGGATAATGAAGAAGATCAGGAACCCATAGAAAAATACTCCATTGAATATCCTCAGGAGCCAAGGAGACCAGTCGATTTCTCATTTGACCTGCCAACTCCAAGTTCAGTTGATTACTCGGAAGAAGAAATTTTGCCAAGATACATTGAACCACTCAAGATAGATGTAGACATCCCAGAAACATATGAAATTTGTCGTGGTGTGGAGGATGTACAGCAGCCAACTCCAATCGAAGTGCAATTTGAGCAAGAGCCTGTGGAAGAAATAACACTAGGGCCTGAGGAGATATTGCCAGTAAGACGTGAAAGACATGAGCCAATTGAGCTTACATTTTCTCAGACACCAGTTGAGGAGATTGATCTTGGATCTGAAAAAGTACTACCCCGTAAAGAGCCAAAGCCTATTGAATTGACCTTTGAAGGAGCAGAAGTAGAGGAAATTTCGCTAGGTCCTGAGGAAGTGCTTCCGAAAGTTAAACCTAAGCCCCAGAAGCCTATTGAAATGAAATTTGATCATGCTCCTGTGGAGGAAATCACACTAGGCCCTGAAAGGGTTCCATCTAAACCATACAAGAAGCCTGAACCTTTTCAAATGGAGTACGAATGTCCTTCCGTCCAAGATATCCAGCTTAGAGAGGAACAGGTGATGCCAAAACCCAAACGTCAACCAATTGAGCTGACCTTTGCTCACAAATCCACAGAGGAGATATATCCTGGGGAAGAAGTGACAGCACCTCAACCTGAAATTCCACTGCAGCCTGAATTTGAAGAATTGGTTATACCATCTGAATATGCTCCAGATATACCTACCAAGCAAAAGACATTCGTGAAGCAGACAATTGTGCAAGAAGTTCATCCACAGCCAACCAAGAAACTACCGACTCCTGAAGAGAGAGGCAGGAGTGTCCTTGAATTAGAAACTCGGCCTCAACCTCGTGAGATCGAACTCATTCTAGATCTTAACCAACCTGACGATGTCACTAGAACTTACACAGAGACTGTGACTACTGAAACAACCACCGTCACTGAGCATGAAGAACAACCAAACGTTGAATATGAAGAATTGATTATTCCAGGAGAGCCTGAAAGGCCAAGAAAACCAACACAGAAAGCTCAAAAGAAGCAAACAGAGCCAATATATGTTGAGGAATCTGACCTGTTGCCAGAAGAGTCTATTCCTGGACATTCTCCTTTATCTCCTGAAGATCTCCCATTTGCACGTGCAGCTGTCACCAGGATACCTCCAGAAGTCATGACAGCTCCTGATGATGTTGAAGTTTCATATGGAGATACAGCCAGGTTAGAATGTCAAATCACGGGAGAACCACAACCACTTGCCCGTTGGAACAGGGATGGAACACCAGTGACAGGTAATAGATACCTAACACTTGTTGAGAGGGATGGGCGTGTTGTTCTTGTAATTAACCCAGTTGAAGAAGTTGATGACACAGAGTTTGAGTGTGTTGCTACTAATGCAGAGGGAACTGTGTCAACATATGCTGATGTATATGTTCAGGATATCCCTACAGAGAAGGTGAAAAGCCGCACAGAAAAACGTCCAAAGAGGACTGAAAAGGTGTCTGTTTCTGTGAAACCCAAGAGAAGAGAAACTGCTGAAATTGAAATTGATCATGAGGAAGACCGCCCACTTAAGTCATTCGAGGTAACCGTTGATGTTCCTAAACCACTCTCTCCAGAAGATGTTCAACAACGACCCCGTGGCCCAGCTGACGTTCCAGTTCAGCCAATGCAAAGATTCAAACCTGACAAACCAGAATTTGAAGTTCTTGTAATCCCAAAGCAACCTGAGGAAGAAGAAGAAAGTATTACTATATCAGAGAGTGTCACAACGGTTGTCGAAACTAAAGAGGTTGTTGCTCCACGTGAGACAACACAAATTTTAATCGATCAGAAACAACGACCTCTTGCTCCTATAGAATTAACACTTGATGTGCCTAAGGAGGAAGAGCCAGAGTATGAGGTGCTAGTTGTACCTGAAGTACCCGAGGAGGAGTCTGTTACAACTGTAACAGAAACTGTAACTACAGTTGTTGAAACTGAAGAATATCCTGATAAACGTGAGACAACAAAAGTACAAATGGAAACTCAAAGGACGCCACTTGCACCTGTAGAACTTACTTTTGAGGCTCCCAGGCACGAGCAACCAGAATATGAAGAAATCGTCTTTCCAGCTGAGAAGCCTCATGAACAGCCTGAATATGAAGTCTGTGTCATTCCCCAGGAAAGACAGCCGGAAGAAGAGACTGTCACAACTGTTGAAGAGATTGTTACAACTGTTGTTGAGACACAAGAGATTCCAGAGACACATGAAACCACACAAGTGTTACTCGAAAAGAAGAAAAAACCTCTTGCTCCTATGGAGTTGACTTTCGATATTCCCAAAGAAGAAAAGCCTGAATATGAAGTCCTCGTCATTCCTCAGGAAAGACAGCCGGAAGAAGAAACTGTCACTACTGTTGAAGAGATTGTTACAACTGTTGTTGAGACACAAGAGATACCAGAGACGCGTGAAACCACACAAGTGTTACTGGAGAAAGGGAAAAAACCACTTGCACCAGTGGAGTTGACTTTCGATATTCCCAGAGAAGAAAAGCCTGAATATGAAGTCCTCGTCATTCCTCAGGAAAGACAGCCGGAAGAAGAAACTGTCACAACTGTTGAAGAGATTGTTACAACTGTTGTTGAGACACAAGAGATACCAGAGACGCGTGAAACCACACAAGTGTTACTGGAGAAAGGGAAAAAACCACTTGCACCAGTGGAGTTGACTTTCGATATTCCCAGAGAAGAAAAGCCTGAATATGAAGTCCTCGTCATTCCTCAGGAAAGACAGCCGGAAGAAGAAACTGTCACTACTGTTGAAGAGATTGTTACAACTGTTGTTGAGACACAAGAGATACCAGAGACGCGTGAAACCACACAAGTGTTACTGGAGAAAGGGAAAAAACCACTTGCACCAGTGGAGTTGACTTTCGATATTCCCAAAGAAGAAAAGCCTGAATATGAAGTCCTCGTCATTCCTCAGGAAAGACAGCCGGAAGAAGAAACTGTCACTACTGTTGAAGAAATTGTGACAACTGTTGTTGAGACACAAGAGATACCAGAGACGCGTGAAACCACACAAGTGTTACTGGAGAAAGGGAAAAAACCACTTGCACCAGTGGAGTTGACTTTCGATATTCCCAAAGAAGAAAAGCCTGAATATGAAGTCCTCGTCATTCCTCAGGAAAGACAGCCGGAAGAAGAAACTGTCACTACTGTTGAAGAAATTGTGACAACTGTTGTTGAGACACAAGAGATACCAGAGACACGTGAAACCACACAAGTGTTACTGGAGAAAGGGAAAAAACCACTTGCACCAGTGGAGTTGACTTTCGATATTCCCAAAGAAGAAAAGCCCGAATATGAAGTCCTCGTCATTCCTCAGGAAAGACAGCCGGAAGAAGAAACTGTCACTACTGTTGAAGAGATTGTTACAACTGTTGTTGAGACACAAGAGATACCAGAGACACGTGAAACCACACAAGTGTTACTGGAGAAAGGGAAAAAACCACTTGCACCAGTGGAGTTGACTTTCGATATTCCCAAAGAAGAAAAGCCCGAATATGAAGTCCTCGTCATTCCTCAGGAAAGACAGCCGGAAGAAGAAACTGTCACTACTGTTGAAGAGATTGTTACAACTGTTGTTGAGACACAAGAGATACCAGAGACGCGTGAAACCACACAAGTGTTACTGGAGAAAGGGAAAAAACCACTTGCACCAGTGGAGTTGACTTTCGATATTCCCAAAGAAGAAAAGCCCGAATATGAAGTCCTCGTCATTCCTCAGGAAAGACAGCCGGAAGAAGAAACTGTCACTACTGTTGAAGAGATTTTTACAACTGTTGTTGAGACACAAGAGATACCAGAGACGCGTGAAACCACACAAGTGTTACTGGAGAAAGGGAAAAAACCACTTGCACCAGTGGAGTTGACTTTCGATATTCCCAAAGAAGAAAAGCCTGAATATGAAGTCCTCGTCATTCCTCAGGAAAGACAGCCGGAAGAAGAAACTGTCACTACTGTTGAAGAGATTTTTACAACTGTTGTTGAGACACAAGAGATACCAGAGACGCGTGAAACCACACAAGTGTTACTGGAGAAAGGGAAAAAACCACTTGCACCAGTGGAGTTGACTTTTGAGGTCCCAAGAACTGAGCATCCAGAGTTCGAGGAAGAAGTGCCCCAACAACCAGAATATGAAGTGGTTGTCATGCCTATGGAACAAGAACCAGAAATGGAAACCATCACTACTGTTACAGAAACTGTAACAACTGTTGTTGAAACAGAAGACCAGCCAGACTCAAGACAAACAACACAAATTGAAATTGACCAACAAAGGCAACCACTTGCTCCTATTGAACTAACTCTTGAGATTCCAAAAGATGAAAAACCAGAATATGAAGTATTAGTGATGCCTACGGAGCAACCAGAAGAACAACCCGAATATGAAATTCTTGTTCAACCAATGGAGCAACCAATAGATGAAGAAGTCACTACTGTCTCTGAGACTGTTACAACTATAACTGAAGTAGTCAGAACTGAAGAGGTTCCCGATGCCATTGAGACTACTAAGGTTATTATTGATCAAGGTGAACAGCCTCTAGCTCCTGTAGAACTTACTTTTGAGATTCCAGAGGAAGAAAAACCAAGAATTGAAGATGTTCCTGTGCAGCAAGAATATGAGGTTTTAGTTATGCCAATGGAAGAGGAGGAAAAAACAATGACTACAGTAGTTACAGAAACGGTGACAACAGTCATAGAAACAGAGGAAATACCTGAAGTCAAAGAGACCAGTGAGATGTTTATTGACCAGAAACAGCCTCTTGGTCAAGTGGAATTAACACTTGAATTGTCTCCAGGTGAACAGCCAGAAATTGGAGTTGTGCAGCCATTTACAGAAGAAACTGTGGAAACTCTTTCTGAAGATGTTCCAGACAGAGTAGAAGCTGTTCCGCAAGAGGAGGCAGGTGTACAAGTTGTTGTCACACAAGAACCACCCCAGGTTATCAGACCTCTTGAAGATATTGTCACAGATGTTGGTGAGACTGTGCGCTTAACATCGCAAATAGTAGGTCATCCTCAGCCTGACATCCAGTGGCTTAAACATGGCAAACCTGTCACAGGAGAGAGATTTGTAACCCTGATTGAAAGAGACGGCAATACTGTCCTACTAATTTCACCAGTCAAGAAGGAGGATGAAACAGATTTTGAGTGCATTGGTATTAATGAGGAAGGAACAGTTTCAACAAGAGCTGAAATATACCTGGGTCCAAAGAAACCACGTGATAAGCCTACTGAAAAGCCTGTAAAGAAACCAGAACCACAGAAGAAAAAGCCAGTTGAGCAGCTTCCTATCACTGAAGAGGTTCCGATCCCACAAAAAGTAGAGCAGGAGCAACCAAGAGGGCCTGTGGACTTACCAGAAAAGCCTAAACATCCTATCACTGAAGAGGTTCCAATGCCACAAAAAGTCAAGCAGGAGCGTCCAAGAGGGCCTGCAGACTTACCAGAAGAGCCTGAATATGAAGAAGTTGTTGCCATCAGTGAAGAAATGGTCTCTGCTGAGATCCTATTAATGGCTGGTGAAGAGCCAGAATATGAGGAGGAAATTGTGATGCCAGAAGAGGAAGTGACTGAAATTGAAATAACTACTCGTGAAGTTACTGATGTAGTTATTGAGAAGAAACCTGAGGGTGTTCAGATCGAATTTGAGTTGCCTCAAGAAAAACCAGAAGAAACCTCTTCAACAACCGTCACACAGACTGTAACTATGACTATAGAACAAGAAGACAAAGGCCCGCAGAGAGCTGAGGTCGTGATCGACCAAGAGCAACAGCCCTTGCAGCCGATCGAACTCGTATTAGATGTAAGGGAAGAAGAAATGCCACAGATGCCAGAGTATGAGGAACTAGTCATACCTAGTGAGGAAATGCCAGAAAAAACAGAGAGAACTGAAATAGTGATTGACAAAGAGGAGGATGAGCAAAGGCCAATCGAAATTGTCTTTGAGGCTCCCCAGCAGACACAGGTAACAGAAGAAGTCTCAACCACTGTGACAGAAACAATATCAGAAGTTGTTGAAACGAGAAAAGACTTCGCCCCTAAACCAACTGAGGTTGTGATGGAAATTGAGGTTCCACGTGAACCTGAGGAACCAAGAGAAACTACTACTGTGATTATGGAAAAGGGACCAGAAGAACTGCAAGGTGTAGAGTTCATTCTTGATATCTCCGAAGAACCAGAGAAACCTAATGACAAAACATTCATTGAGATCATTCGCCATGTCACTGATATCGAGGTGGAGATTGGCAATCGAGCTCACTTCACTTGCTTTATATTGGGAAACCCAAGGCCCACTTTCCAGTGGTCTGCCAATGGAAGGCCACTCCAAGGTGACCGGTTCATCTCCATCTTCAATTTAGATGGAATCTGTGAGCTGATCATCACTGAGGTACAGGAGGAAGATGAGACTGTGTATGTGTGCCGTGCTGAGAATCCTGCCGGCGTTGTCACCACTGAGGCAGAACTTATTATTCCTGGTACAGGTAAGTCAAACATTTTCTTATTTTCTTTCTGTCTTAAGAATTTCATTTTCATTTTTTTCTGATTTAAGGAAAGTGAAATCCTTCATCTGACCTATGTTTTATCTTGCATGTAAGTCTTGTAGAAAATGATAGAAAAACAAGCGAAATATATTCCTATATCACACACAGTGAAAATCATATCATTACAATTTTCCATTGTGTTTTCTCTATTCTTTCAATGTTCAATTTGAGAGCTATAATATTCATTAAGAGTATGTTATAGCAATGACATATTGCGTTTGTGGATTCCCACAAAAAATGGGAATTATAAAATTGGGGGTTTTAGATTCATAATCTAGAACACATTTGCATACGAATGATACTATGCCTCTGGAAATTGTTTTATTATCTTTTAAATACATTTTATTATGCTTGTTGATATGAATTCGGTGCATCTTGGTCAGTATCTACATGTACATAGGGTCATTACGGTTTCATCATGCTAGATACATACTTCCTTGCATGACCATTCTATATCATGCCTCGATGCGCTATGCATGTTATTTGTCCTACGTCTGTAAAGTCAACAGGGTCACTTTGGGATGAAGTAAGCCCGATAAGTAACCCACATTTATATGCCTAGATACTTATCTTTGTTTTAGTTTAGATCTTATCTCCTAAACAACATTTCAATAACTCTGACAAATGACTCTAAAACCTTGTTTAGATATGACACACCAAATACCGTTCTGTATCATATAACACAGACCTCAGAGAATATGCACAGGATCTTTATTTCATGCAGTTGATATTTATTTACGCTTTAAAAAATGAAGCTTTTTTCTGGGGGGGGGGGTGGTGTTTTACTGTATCAAATCTAAACGAGCCTTAATGCAGAACCTGAAACAAATGAAACAATACCTGATGAGCGATCTATGAAACATTTTCTTCTTTTCTACATTCATCAACCCAAAATATAACAGGTATTTCTTAATAAAGCAGTTTTTTAATTTCTCACTAGACTATCTGATCAAGGTTCAACACAAAATTGTACAGTGTCTACCCTAAGTTATCCTGGGCTTTAGTATTTGATGGATTGAAAACAATAGACCAGCTTTGTGGATCAGTCTTACACGATTACTCTCAAGCCATAAAACGAGTGAATATTGTCCTTGTTTTGAGCCAGAAAGGCGGTTATCATATAATTTTCCATGAGTAAACTTCCGTCTGGCTCCAAACAGACTATATTATAGCTATTCATCCGCATGAGATATGTAGGTTTATTATATCATTATCATTGAATGCTCGTCTTGTCATGCATCTGGTCTGAACCTTGCATTGATATTTTACCATGCTATATTTTATGCCTGCCTTTTTTCATACATATACATGTATGTGTATGAAACAAGTTTTCTAGTATAATTGTACTTTGATGACAGATAATTTCCAGTGATGGATTATATCAAGGAAATTTGTGAATAATCAAAACACCACTAAGTGATAATTGATTATCAGTTTTTAATAGCAAGAGCCTTATAAATATGCGTGTTTCTATTCTTTTCACTATTCCTGTTCATCTTCCTTGTATAATGATGGACTAAAATATTTTTTATCTAATGTAGGTGGGTTTTTAAAATGGGTGTTTGTTGAAGGGGCAGACAATACTAGTTATTGTGAGTTATCATTGTTGTTTTAACAATACAGCAGTATCAAAAACTGTGCCGGTTTCAATTGAGGTTTCTAGTAGGCCTTTTATATTACCATACAGGCATACCTAGTACATTAGAATTACATTTTGTGATGACATCTAACATCAAAAGCCTAAGATAGGTAAAGACATAGATGTGTCAGGTAAAATTGTGATATGAAAATCTTGCAGTATGTAAAAAGGACTTTTTGCAAATATGAATATTCATCACATGAAGTCTATGATTGTTAATGTTTTTTTTTGCAAATAGATTTTATTGTGCAAATCCTTTCCATGGTAGTTATGGACAGTTTTTTTAATTCACAGACATACCGATTGTCCCATGTGGAATATGGAGATAGTTTAAAAAAATTCTTTCGTGTTTAATTTCTGACTTCACTTTGTGTCATCTTTTTCTTCCTATGATGCATCAGAAATATCCTTGCGCATGTATTGATAATATATGGTTTGTTAGAAGCATGTTGGCTTTCTTTTATATGCTTGTTGAAAAGGGGTTATGCTGATTTGTAGCATGTCGTTTGATTGGGTGATAAGTTTTGCCTGACTGCATGACTCCATGCATTTACAGATGTTGGAAGAGTTTTTTCTGAAAATATGAGATTTGACTTGCTGAATAAAGAGGATGGACAGGGAATGCCTATGGATTATGCTACTTGATTTTCATGATGACATCCTTGCATCTGTTGCCATCCTCAATGTAATATGCATGTTGCTTGTATTAGGTGCATTCCAAATTTCATATATCAACAGGATCATGCCTTCTTCCATTTCTGCATCCAAGAGAGTGTGCATGCATTGCATTTGCCTTGTAAGTATTGATCAGTGGCCTGGTAAAGCATGCTTTTGGAAACCTATCACATCGGCTGTGTTGCTCTGATGCCATGTTTACTCTTTATTCTTGATACACCTTATAGTGGAACAAACTACCAAAGAAGTGACTGTAACAACAACCACAACCACCAAGGTAGTGAAAGAGGTCATCGATGCAGAGAGAGAACCAGACGAGGATATAGAACCTCTAATGATTATCCCACAGGAGCCAGAAGAGAAGGTGGATATTGTGGAAGAAATCATCACAAGACCAACTGAAGATGGTGATGTGGAAATAGTGAAGAGGAAAGTAATCACCACTACCAAGACTCAGAAGGTTACTGAGGTTGTTGAAGAAGAGGTTGACGAAGAGGAAGAAGAAGATGGTGTAACTGAGGAAGATCGAGATCTTGGGCTTCCTCATGAAAACATACTCTTGAAGTTCATGGATTCCCTGCCTGAGCACGTACAAACTGCAGAAGAAGTCTTAACTATGCCACAAGAAGAGCAGATATCTGAAGATCTAGCACCTGTGAAAACAGAACCGCAAGAGGTTGCTGAGTTGCCCACTGCTACAGTCCGAATTCCTCAAAGTGAGGAAGTTTTACCTGAAGAGGTCACAAAAGACTTCCAAACGATTGAGGTTCGCCCATTGGAAGTTGAGGAAATACAAGTGCCAGCAGTTGAAGCAGCACAGACAGAGGAGAGGATTGCCCAAGAAATGCCAAAAGAATTTGCTGCTGTTGAAATCAAGCCATCTGAAGTTGAAGAGATGCCAGCAGCAGTTCTTGAAATTCCACAAAGAGAGGAACAAGAGCCGCAGCAAGTGCCACAGGAATTTGCTCCTACTGAAATCAAGCCATCTGAAGTTGAAGAGATGCCAGCAGCAGTTCTTGAAATTCCACAAAGAGAGGAACAAGTGCCACAGCAAGTGCCACAGGATATCGCTCCTTCTGAAGTGAAGCCATCTGAAGTTGAAGAGATGCCAGCAGCAGTTCTTGAAATTCCACAAAGAGAGGAACAAGTGCCACAGCAAGTACCACAAGAATTTGCTCCTTCTGAAGTGAAGCCATCTGAAGTTGAAGAGATGCCAGCAGCAGTTCTTGAAATTCCACAAAGAGAGGAACAAGTGCCACAGCAAGTACCACAAGAATTTGCTCCTTCTGAAGTGAAGCCATCTGAAGTTGAAGAGATGCCAGCAGCAGTTCTTGAAATTCCACAAAGAGAGGAACAAGTGCCACAGCAAGTACCACAAGAATTTGCTCCTTCTGAAGTGAAGCCATCTGAAGTTGAAGAGATGCCAGCAGCAGTTCTTGAAATTCCACAAAGAGAGGAACAAGTGCCACAGCAAGTGCCACAAGAATTTGCTCCTACTGAAATCAAGCCATCTGAAGTTGAAGAGATGCCAGCAGCAGTTCTTGAAATTCCACAAAGAGAGGAACAAGTGCCACAGCAAGTGCCACAAGAATTTGCTCCTACTGAAATCAAGCCATCTGAAGTTGAAGAGATGCCAGCAGCAGTTCTTGAAATTCCACAAAGAGAGGAACAAGTGCCACAGCAAGTACCACAAGAATTTGCTCCTTCTGAAGTGAAGCCATCTGAAGTTGAAGAGATGCCAGCAGCAGTTCTTGAAATTCCACAAAGAGAGGAACAAGTGCCACAGCAAGTACCACAAGAATTTGCTCCTTCTGAAGTGAAGCCATCTGAAGTTGAAGAGATGCCAGCAGCAGTTCTTGAAATTCCACAAAGAGAGGAACAAGTGCCACAGCAAGTGCCACAAGAATTTGCTCCTACTGAAATCAAGCCATCTGAAGTTGAAGAGATGCCAGCAGCAGTTCTTGAAATTCCACAAAGAGAGGAACAAGAGCCGCAGCAAGTGCCACAGGAATTTGCTCCTACTGAAATCAAGCCATCTGAAGTTGAAGAGATGCCAGCAGCAGTTCTTGAAATTCCACAAAGAGAGGAACAAGTTCCACAGCAAGTGCCACAAGAATTTGCTCCTACTGAAATCAAGCCATCTGAAGTTGAAGAGATGCCAGCAGCAGTTCTTGAAATTCCCCAAAGAGAGGAACAAGTGCCGCAGCAAATGCCACAAGAATTTGCTCCAACTGAAATCAAGCCATCTGAAGTTCAAGAATTACCAGCAGCAACTGGCGAAATATCACAGATTGAGGAGAGAACACCCTTTTCAACCCCAAGTGAGATAGTTTCAGTTGAGATCAAATCAGAAGAACCACAGGAAATAACTGATACCGTTTTGAGAACACAGCTACAGGAAACCAAGGAAGGTGTTGCTATAGAACTACTTCTTACTCAGCAGGAAGTTCCAGGTAAAGAAGTTGAAATAGAAGTTTCTTCCAGAGAGATAGAAAAAGAAAGTGTTTCAATTGAAATAGAGAGAATTCCAGATAAAGAAGTCACAGAAGTCACTGAATTGTCTTTATCTGTTGAAAGACAAGAACCTGAATTTCCTGACATTATCATTGAGGTTGAGAAAGTTAAA